CTCAGTGTGATAGCAGTGAAGCACAGATAATAGCTCAGTATAACAGACCACCATTTTTGTTATAAAAGCACAGGATTGCAATCAGAATTTAAACTGATTAAATCACACATATTGACTTTTTAAATTATTGTCTCAATCTGCTCTTCCTTGCAAAATATATGCAAGCATATTTTCTACTAAATTAGACAAGATTTGGTTTCTTTGGCAGGTAAGGGATATAGCAGGCAGAACCACCTTGGACCAAATTGCTCATTTCTAGCTCATGCTTCATTCTTGACTATGCTGCTGCTGTCCTTCATCCTTCTAAACTTTCAGCCAAATCCCTCTGAAGGCACAGTAGGAAGACACCCTATCCTAGGAAAACCTTAATAATTGGATATCATGAAGTAGAATAAAAATCATACCCCTGGGCTTCTAATGAAATGATTTTTCTGATAGTTGGATACTTTCTATTGATGGGATGGGAAACAATCATGATAGGAATGACCACATGTGGATTGTCCATGTATCTGAATTATCATCACTTCTCCGAATCTTTAAAAATGTTCTGCCCAACTCTGTGTTCTCAAAAACAATGATTTCCCAATTAGTTTGGAGACAGTTGATATCTATAAAGCTTGTTACATAAACTAGAAACCCCTAAGAAATAATGGCAAAAATAGATTTAAACTAGAGCAATGACAGATTCAAGACACTAGTTGCTTGTTTGGGAATTTATGACCACAGCTTAATAAACAAATTAGAAATCAGAGTATCATATTATGTAGGGTATGATAGTACAAGTACAACAAATAGGACTCCAAATGTACAAAAACAAAGGGAATGTATGCTGCCAAGAGCATCCGGTAAGTAAAGGAGGCAGGAAATTGATACCTTACTGGAATAACATTGGGCTATTTTTTCAGTCCAGTAAGGGTAACTGCTACAATATTGGGACTGGACAAGGAATACAGGAAAAAAATACAAAAATCATAAGGTGTTTGTAGCACCTTCCATGTGCAAACAACAGAATTAAAGTTATATAAGCTGAAACTGAAGTGACTTATAGGCAATGTAGGTGGCAACAACCTTTGAGAGCTATGCAAAAGAGGGAACTTCAACCACTGTAGCTATGCAACAAGTGAAATTACAAAGGAAGATCCTCAATTGAATTTGCTCATCCCAGTTGCAGCTTTCGTGCAGCCTTCCCCAACCTGCCATTTTCCAGAGGTGGCTCAGCTCCCATGAGGCCAACTGAGGGAGCTGTACTACTGCATGCTTAGAGGAACCAACTTGAGAAGCCTCACAGATAATGTTAGCTATAGAATTATGAAAACCTAGAAAAAAGCTGAAACAAGTACTGGCAGGACATTCAACCTTTAGCTTTCAGTTACCTCATGTATAACCATTTGCTCTGTCTTCTTGCGCTAAATTGCAGTCAACTTCTAGATTGCTTCTAGAGAAGCATCAAAAAAGGGAGAAATGAAACCTAGTCCTTATGTACACATAACCTTAGAGCAGAGGGAAGGCTACTCTCTCCAAGAAATTTAGCCAGTTTCTAGTGTGTTTTCTTAAGGCAGCAAGAAAAGAAGCACCATGTGGCATACAAAGAGATGACTAAAGATCTCAAGTTCATGGAACTGAGGAAGTACATTTAAATAAAAAGTTAACAACTTTTTTTGAGAGACTGTGGTGATTATACTAGCTAAGTGGCATGCCAAAGATCATACTCCCAAAATAATAAATTTGTTTTGTTTTAATTTAATCTAAATGTTATTGAATGTAAATTAATTAAATAGTTAAGGTGTTTACCATTGTTCCCAAGAATTTAATGAATTTTGGTTATGTTAAAAAGGAAGATTTGTTACCTACCTTTAGTGTTTCCCAAAAGAAAGGATGTACATAAAATAAACCAAGTAAAATGGTAACTCAGTCAAAATCTTTGGAAGGATGCACCCAAGATTGGGGGAGAAGCACAGACAGCCTATACATCTCCAGGTTTGATGTAGCTGGAAAAGTAACTTATGAATTTATTTTGACTAGTTTACTTTTGCTAAAGCATAACAGATACCTGCAGCAAATAAAATCTTAAGATACAATTAGGGCCAACAAGGCAGATTAGGGTGCCAAGCATTTCCAGAAGGAAACCTGCTTCCATTAATTTCTATTTTTCAAATGTTTAAAAAATAGGAAGCTGATATGCTGAAAATAAAACATTGAGAATTACCTTTCAATAGTGGTAAATATCTGTGGCTTAGGAGTAGGATGAGGGTGAAGGTTCGTTCTCGGAGTTTGTGGGTTGGTTCTCGAACATTTCGTTAGCTGGCTAGCAGAGGTGGTATTCAGCAGGTTCTGACCAGTTTTGGAGAACCAGTAGCAGAAATTTTTGAGTAGTTGGGAAAACTAGCCGATACCACCTCTGACTGGTCTCACCCCCATCTATTCTCTGCCTCCCGAGTCCCAGCTGATCGGCTGGGTCTTCTTTTGTTGCCCTGCACAGGAGAACGGAGCTGGAAAGCAGATTAGTAGGGTAGGGAATGGGGATTTTGCAATATCCTTCCCCCAGGAGTGGGGAGGGAATGGAGATTTTACAGTATCCTTCCCCTGCCATGCTCACCAAGCCACACCACATCCACCAAGCCACAGAATCAACAGTAAAAAAATTTGAATCCCATCACTGCAGGCTCGGTGACATCTTCAGTGGAGATTACGGGATGTCAGTGTCAGTGTTCTTCTGTGTATAGAGCTTCTGGTGTAGGTGTATCAATTGAGATTCTTGTGACTCATCACAAGACCCATTAAAAGAACCTCACTTGAAACACCCACACCTGAACAACAGAAGGACACTGACACTGACATCCCCTAAACTCTGCTGAAGATATTACCAAGCCTGGTAGCAAAATATTCGGAAACAAGCTCAGAGATCGAACCTTCACCCTCAATTGCATTTCACTTCCAGGAGTGCTTTCCTGCTCCCAAGTTTCTTAAAAGGTAAGTGTGGCTGTAAGGAGGAAAGTCAATGTACAAATGAGAAGAGTCCAGTAGAAGTAGGCTAGGAGGAATATCAGGTAACATTGATAAATCAATGCTTTATAACTGGTTAGATCCTCCATGAGAGCCATCTTCTGAATGGATAAAGCCTTTTCAGCTGCTACTTAGCTGGAATTGCAAGTGAAACAATACTTCAGCAACACACTCAACATTGAAGCTGTGTTCATAATCTCAAAAGAAGCAGGAACCCCTGAACCCCATTCCCCTGGTAAAGCCTATCTGAACAATTATTTGAAAATACAACTACATACATTGTTCGAAGAATAATTTGGAGTGCCACGATCTGGGGTGACAAAAGAACAAATCAAAAATCAAATCCAAACATACTTGAAGAAAAGAGATTCATGTTATTCCCAAGAACAAAAAGATCTGTTTTAGGGGTAGCTACAGAGGAAATGGAATCCAGATACATGGTTTTATAGGTCCTTGTGTGAACTGGGAGGGAGGGGGTGTACATGCAGGTTTTTAGTGTGTCCTTCCGAGGCAGATGTAAAAATTGGGGTACTCTTTCCTGGGCTTTGTTCCTGAGGTGAAATCCTGAAAGGAAGCTAACTCTTAGATATGTAGATTCCCCCTCTGGTTCCCTTTATAATGGGGGGACACATTCCTGCCTCCCCATGAAGCCAGTGAGGTGCTAAAAGCAGGGGGTAGCAGATCAGAGGCCTTTTAACTTCTAGCAATGTTTTTTTAGGATTCCTTGGAAATCAGTAAGAAAATAAAAGATATATTTTTCTGTTACGTGAGGCTCAAACAGTCACCTCCAATTTTTTCAAGCAGCCTGTTCTTTCCCAGGCAGCAAGAACCAACTAGGCCAGAGGTTGTGTGGTCTGAGGCTGTAAACATCACTTGGGCCAGTGTGTTGTTCTGCAAGGATAAAATGTGTTGGCTGCAAAATCTTCTGCAAGGAACACACTAAAGCTCTGTGGGTTTTTTTTCTCTCTTCCCCCACATCCTCCTTTTTTGTAAGGAGGATGCCAGCTGAAAACATCTGTTCCCTCTTTCTGTATGTTCCTTTATTATTTATAAAACCTTTTGCTCTTGCTCCATTTGTCACTTGTTTCTGTGAAAATATGTCACTTGTTTCTGTGTAATATAAAGAGTTAATTAAGGAGGTGTGGCAGCTGAATTTCTGGATGCCTTACAAAGTGTTGCAGTAAGTCCTCCTCCCAAATACTGAGATTTATTAATGCCATAAAATTCCAATTAATTGCAGATCAAATCACTTCCTCCATGATTTGCCATAAACACATTATCCCTTACCAAACACCTGCTTCCCCCACACACCTATGAACCTCCTTTGCCCACTTTCTCTCCCCATTCGGAAGATAGCCAGATTCCTTTTAAGAGATTAATAAAGCAGAACAGACTGGAATAACAGTTGGAAGGGACCTTGTAGTAGGTCATCTAATTCTAGTCCAAGCCCCTGCCCAAGCAGGAAACCCTACACCATTATTGACAGGTGTCAGTCCAGTCTCTTCTTGGAAAGCTTCCAGTGATGAAGCTCCCACAACTTCTGAAGGGAAGCTGTTCCAGAAAATTGTCAGAAAATTGTTTAAATGAAGTAATTCATTCCCTTCGAATGCTATTTTCCTTTGCAAATTTGTTAGTTGCACCAAGCTTGTCCTGTGCAAAATAATCATGCCGTTAATTGGACATTAAACAATCGGGCTTAAAAGAGGATTCCGATGAAGTGAGCGCCGTCTCTTTGCGCACGGACAACCGTGCATGTTGTTTCAGTCCATCGCATTACCTATAAACTTACTAGGCGCTCCGAAGGGACGCTTCGATCTCCTCAGACTCCACTCCGGGGCCCCATTCCTCTCACGGTCAACCCCCTCACCCGCCCGCCCCCACCTCCTTTTGAGACCAATTGCCCGGCATCCTGCAGTCAAAAAAACCCGTTACGGGAAGCGCCTCCTCCCCGTTTGCCACGCCCATGCCCCCCACGTGACCACCAGGTCCGCCAATGGCGGCCTGAACGGCTCCTTCCCCCGTGAGCCGCGTCGCTGCAGTTAATAGCCGAGAAAATCAGTAGCGAAGGCGTCTCCGCCGCTGGGCTGGAGGGCGATGGTTCGCGGCCTGCGGAGGTTGCTCAAGTAGCCGGGACGAGACGCGAAGCGGTGAGTGGCGGAGAGGATGGGGCTGGGAGGGGGGGGGTCACGAGTTCGACCTCCGTTCCCCATAAAACCCGTTGGGAAGAGGGGAGCGCGAGAAGAAGGGCAGCCGCCGAGCCAGGCCGAAAGGAGGAGGATTTGGCAGTTGCCAACCCCCTCGCCTCGACTCCCCCCGGGCGGGTGCTCGTCCTTCTCCTTAGGCCCTTGGGAGATAAGAAACTTCCTTTGGGCCTCCGCAGAGCCCGAAGGAAGTCCACAAATTGCCCTCGGCGCCCAAGAGGACCGCCGGGCTTGGAGCTCGCCTGCTGCATTTTTATATAGAGGCGGACTTTTCGGGCAGTCGGTTCCAAGAGCGGAGCCCATTTTCCGCTCTCCGGATCAGGCTGGCGCCGCCGGGCTTTTCTAACCATCCGTTTCTGGGAGCAAAATGTGGGGCTGGGGGCGGGGAGGTGGGGGGGAATTTCCCAGCGCTTTTTATCTTCCTGTATGCTTTTCTGATGTGCTCTGTGCGTGTGTACGTGTTTGGAGGGGGGGGGAATTTCACCCCACACTCTTTATTTTATTTTGTGTTCGGGACAGAGTTGGGCAATGACCCTCGATCTGAACTTAAATAAACAAGCCCGAGTCCTGGGTATGATTGCAGTGACCATATTTTCTTTAAAATAAAAGACGAGCCTGAAACGAGCAGATCGAGGGGTTGGGAGGTTGGGGAGAGAAGCCTGAAGCGGTATTAAAAACGGTAATCGTTTCAGGTTGATAACTTTGCGAAGGGAGAATTCGAGAGCCCAGGAAGGAAAAGGAAACTTTAAAAAGCGTATTCTTAATAATGGCTAAAAAGTGTGACAAGGTTCGAAGTTATAAGAAGCAAGTAGTAAAAAGCGTTTCTGTAATCTGCATTAGAAGGCACCGTTTGTGCAGTAAAATATAAATGACTAAAATAAAGGAGGAAAGTAATTTTATGGAAAAATCTAAAGGAAGGCTTTTGAAATAAAAGACTGTCTTTTATCTACATGGGGCTGCTCTAGATTTGATTTGTGGTAGATTGGTGGTAAGCTTGGAAGGAACAATTTATGGTGAATACTGAAGTTATCCTCAGTCCATTTCTCCTTTCCTGATATCCTTTCAACATCTGTTCTGTAAAATAAAGCAACACAAACTGTAGGTAGTCCTTCATTTACAACCATCCATTTAGTTGTCAGCTGAAAGAAGTGACTTACAACCCTTTCTCGCACTTAGGTGCTTGGCAATCGGCATGTATTTACAATGGTTGCAGTGTTCAGGGGTTGCGAGATTGCCATTTGTGACCTTCCCAGCTGGCTTTCCATAAAGTCAATAGCGGAAGCAAGATTTGCTTAGTGACCATATGGTTCATGATCATATAGCAAAAAAGGTTGTAAAATTGGATGAGTCTCAGTTAACTGCCTTGCTTCGCAACAGAAATTCTGGCCTCAATTGTGATTGATAGTTGAGGTTTACCTGTAGTCATTTGGTCCCAAATGAATTCTTTCATGGCTGTAGTCCTTCCTATCTTTCTGTCCCCCTAAACTGTTTTAAAATTCTAACCTCTGGATTGTAGTGATCTGCTTTTTTGTATCTGTATGGTCTTTTACAAATGGAAACCTCGACTTGGGGCTGTATCTTATAGGACCACATGAAATAATGCATAATTAGATGTACACGCTACAGTGTACAGGTAGTCCTCAACTTATGACCAATTGACTCAAATTTTCCATTGCTAAGCAGGGCAATTAAGTAGGTTTTGCCCCATTTTTTGCCATATTTAAGTGAATCACTACAGTTGTTCAGTGAGTCATGCAGTCATTAAAGGAATCTGGCTTCCCCATTGACTTTGCTTATCAGAAGCAGTTGGGAAAGCTACAAATGGTGATCACAAGACCCTGGGAGAATGCAACTGTCATAAACGCATGCCAGTTGCCAAGCGCCCAAATTTTAATCTTATGACCATGGGGATGCTGCATTGGTTGTAAGGGTGAAAACTGGTTATCAGTTTTTTCAGGGCCCTTGTAACTTTGAACAGTCACTGAATAAATGGTTGTAAGTTGAGGACTACCTGTAGTATGTATAAAGTCTGGATGTCAGAGAAAGGATGTCTAGAATTTTTATCAATTACAATTCAGTGTTCCATGTTTAGGAAGTGTTTCTGTGTATGTGTATATCTTATGTGTGTGCTGAAGCATCTATTCATTCTTCCCAAGTGTATAAGTTTATCATAAAGAGTTATGATGTAGTTCTGTACAATGTTTGTATCATCTGTACTTCACACTATTTAAAGTCCAATACCTATAATTGCACTTAATTGTATCTTTGCTTACCTTTGTTTCTCTTCTTCCTCTTCTTTTTTTCTGTCTCCCACCCTTTCTCAATTAAATTGATTTATAAAAAATTCTGTATTGTTTTTTACATCAATATAAGAAAAGTTACAAGTAAATAGCTACTGTATATTTTAATTCACAAAGAGTTTAGTAATTGGCAGTACTGTATATAATATCTACCAATTGTAATAAACTTTGAAGCATTAATTATAACTGAATAGTTCTGTTTAAGTAATAGTTGAACTGCATCATGTGGAGAGAGCTTGTTGTGCCCACTAAGGGAAATTCCACAGAAGAATGTAGTGCTGTCACATATGTGAGCATAATTTCCTACATGCACATTTCTTGGCAAATTTGAGTTGTATGTTGAGTACTCTTGAGAACATATTCCCGAATTTTGATGTCTGTTAACCTTCTTAAGTTAATACTTTTCTATAAATAGTAGTAGAAAGGAGCAGGAGCAGCCAGAACAGCCAGTTGTTAAGGAAATTCCTCAATTGCAGTCAAACACATACAAGGAAGCCGTTACTGTTTTTGTTTTCCTGTTTCATATAACATCTTGTTACTTTTTCACAGAAATTATAAAATACCTAATAAGTATCTTTTGCAAAGTCACTAGTCAATGTCAGAAAAAAAAAGTATTGGCAATCAAACATTGCAACATGAGGTTGGCTTCTAAAAATAAATGGAATAAATTTCATGTACCTTTTTTTAAATAGAGAAGATTAAACTAGACTACTAGTCTTAGCCATCCCCATGCAACATCCAACATTCCCTGCTAACTGTAAGAACAACATCAGTCAATGTTAGCATATTTCAGCCAGTATGCCAGAAGCCCGGTGTACCCATGCCAACAGGAAGGACCTACTTCAGACCCCATCAGTCAAAAAAATTCCATCCGTCCTGATCCAGAGGAAAAGCCTTCTCTGCTGCAGCTCCCACCCTTTGAAGGATCTTGCCCTTCCCACCGTCCTATTCTTCCACAAGAGCCTAAAGACATGGCTCTGCTGGTTGGCCTGAATAGGGCCAAATAGAGGAGTTTCACACTAGATAGAGGTAGCTGCTAGATTAATGGCAGATCCACTTCCCTATCCCTTACTCTCTGCTCTCTATCCATCCATCTTTTTTTTTTTGATGACCATATACTGTAGTTGTATTTCTTGTTGTATTCTTTTTATTGTTCATTTTATTGCTGTATTACCTCTTGTTCATTCTCTTTTCATTTCTTTCGTTTTATTGTTGTAAGCCTCCTAGAGTAGCCCCACGGTGAAATAGGCAACAAATAAATTTAACAAATAAATAAATATTCAGTCTGTTCTATGCAAGGTATCTAATTTAGCAACACTGTACTTTTTACAACCTTGTAGCCCCTCTTCAGAATAACCTTATAAACCAACAAATAAGCGCACATTTAATGTATTTATGGATAAATGTGTAAGAAATTGTTGTGAAATTGGAGGTATTCAGGTTAGGAATGTGTACATCTTTTGTATAATTATTATGTAATCTTGGCTGACATGATTTGCAGCATATTTTAAACGATATAATGCAGTGGGAGATATTTTTGATGCAATTGAATTATTCATAGTAGAGATATATCTAAATATTGCTGCAATATTTACTAAAGTTGAGAAATTGAGAGGAGAATTATAACAGAAATAGTAAAGAGAACTTAAGGTGTGAAGATCCTCAGAAAGAAAGGTGAGAAATTTAAGGAACAAAATGCAATGACAGCATCAGTGGATGAATGTGCTGAAAACAATTGTGGTTTACAAGGGTAGATCCCAACTTCCATTTTCGGCTGCAACGGCCTCTTGCCACCCTCAGCTAGCAAAAACAAAGCTTGGGGTGGACACGGAGCTCGGGAGAGTTGCGCACAGCCCTCGTGAGCTCTGTTTTCTCTGACAGAGGCATGACAGGCCGGTCCTTCACTGCTTCCAGGACAATTCTGCAGGCCAGATCTTAGCATCCTGCAGGTCAAATCTGGTCCCCAAGACTTGAATTTGACATTCCTGCTCTAGACAGACTCTTGGTTTGCATATAAGAAGCTTCTGCTAGTTTTTAAACTGCTCACACTGCAGGAAGTAATAATTTGCCATGAATCGAGAATGTGTCATATCTCTTAAATAATGGCAAAAGATTCAGTTGTAAACTTGAAGCATTCTGACCTATATCATATCTCTTGGAAGAAATTTATTAGAAAATAATTCTACTTCACCAAACTTTGATTTATTTAATTATAATTAAATGAATTTCTATGAATTAACATAAGCAATTGGGGAAGGGGCTGCTCTTATTTCCAATTTTTTATTAAACTCTATATGTCAGTACCTTATCCAACTGATGTCGATTATATAATTTACATATAGACCTTGATTTGCTATCACAATTGAGCCAAAAAGTTCTGTTGCTAAGTGAAACACTTAAGTGAATTTTGCCCCATTTTACGACCTTTTTTGCCACACTTGTTAAGTAAATCACTGCAATTGTTACTTTAGGAACAGAGTTGTTAAATGAATCTAGCTTTCCCATTGTCTTTGCTTGTCAGAAGATTGCAAAGGGTAATCACATGATCCCAGGACACTACAATCATCATAAATATGAATGTGTTGGCAAGTATCTGAATTTTGATCATGTGATCATAGGAATGCTGCCTGTGAAAAATGGTCATGTTATTGTTTTCAGTGCAATTGTAACTATCAACAGTCATTAAATGAACTGTGGTAAGTCATTTTTATTCAATTTCTATAGAAAAAAAGTGAAATTCCATATTTTGGCACAAATTCAAAAATACATTCAAATCTCTGAATCAAAGGGTACAATAACAGAACAAGCCCATCTCTGTCAATGACTTTGTGGCTTACAGTTCAAAAATTTATAGTTTTTATAATCTGTAAATTATAAAAAAAATACACTGAAGTACTAGAAATATTTTAAAACAAAAACATAGAAACATCCAAATGAAACATACATAGCAGTCTAGATAATTGGTGCTAATGGAAATTTGGTCTCTTTGTCTGTTGAATTGAAATTTTACAGTAATGTAGCTGAAATATCCTAGATTAACAAGTCCATATAGCTAAGGACGCAATATATTAACTGTTTCTTATGATCTTATTAATTCAGTAAAAGGTTTACTTTTTGAACAGAACTTCATTATGTTGGCAGAATAAAATGGATAGGGGGCATTTGTTCATATGATATGAGCTAGTTCTGTTATTGTCCTGCTTTGATTCACAGAGATTTAAATATATTTTTGGATTTATGCCAAAATATGGAATTTCATTTTTTTTCTATTTTCCCAAAAAAGTCCAAAAGCTTCCAGTTAGCACTAAAATTAGTGTCTTTTTTCTAATCAAGGCTGTCGGGTTCACCATCTCTGCCAATTATCATATATAAGAACAAAGTACCATATCATTTTTTCCAATTTTTATCCATCAACCCCATCAGAAATATCTCTGGTTTTGACTGTACATTTACCTTTTTTTAAAAAAATTCTGAATGTGTTCAATCCAGAATTCTTTAGCTTTTTTACAAGTTACCCCAAAATGATGAAAAATCCCTTCTTGAAATTTACATTTCTAGAACATATTTGAAATACCCTTCTTGTAGTTAGAGACTACTCTGATTGACTTATTTGCATTGCAAGCCAAAAACTCAAATAAAGGAGAATATTTGTAGCTCAGTTTTGAAATGAGGGGTCCTTGGTGCTCTCTGAGCTTGCTTGTTTTCTTGCAGAAATTACTTAAAGTAGGTAACATCAGTGTTAGTAAGGAGTGGGGTTGCTCTCAATTTATATTCTAGTGGCTTATCTGGGTGTTATGGTGGTGGTCTTAGAGATTCCTTGGTTGAGCTTTTCACTGTTGGCTGCTCTTTGGCAGTTTCTTGACTGGGGTATTGTTTACTTGATTGTTGGTCTGCTGTTAACCTTGGAGTTAATCTATGCTGATCTGAATGCTGAGTGCTGCTGGAGGATAACAACTCATCCCCCACCAACACTGACAAGACAAGCCACCAGAATATAAACAGCAAACAGCACTCCTTAATAGCACTGATGATGTTACCTAGTTTGGATAATGAAATTTCTGCAAGAAAACAAGCAAGCTCAGAGAGCACCAACCACCCCTCAGAAAACTCAAAACTTTATAGTTGTAGTTACAGGCAAGTACCAGCAGGTACCAGTGAAAATGCATTCCACTATAAATAGACTAACCTGGTTACTATATTCTGATATATAGTCCCAACCAATCCAGTTGGTTAGAATATAACAAAAAAGCATTATGGGAAAGCAAAGTCCAAGAAAAGTAATAGTTTGAACACCAGAGACTCAAGAAAAGTTAAACTTTTCTTTTAGATTTAAAAGGAAATCTTCCCTTTTTTGTTATTAACTTTCAGATATGTACAAATTACAGGTCATAACCAGCTCTCATTCATTGTAACTTTGAACAGTCACTGAATGAGTTTTTGTGTTTTGTGTGTATGTTTGATTTTGACTGAACTTTCTATCATGCTTAAGATAGCTGAACTTACCCACTAAGGAGATACAGTACCTTCATACAAATACACGACTGATTCACCATTGTAAAAAGAAATTGCATAAATGTGTTTTACAGACTTGGATCAAAATGTTTTCAAAATGGGGCATGTCAATGCAAGGTGTCTACATTCTCCTGAGCATTTACTACTTTGGAGGTAAGTCTGTAATGATGAATTATATCACTGGTGAACGAGACTGTGATTTAATTTTGTGCTTAAATTACATTAGTGATTTTGAGTATTAGTTTGAAACTTAGGTTATAGAACAAGAATGTATGTATAAAGAAAATTCTGTATAGGTTCAGAGTTTTCTACTCTGAGGTACTAGTTATTTGTGGATTAAAACCTTTTAAACAGAGACTAATTCAAATTTATTGAGACAGAGTCAAACAAAACAGCAGCAGATTAATAATTGAATTAAAGGACACTAACTGACTTATGTCTTGGGTTTAGCAAGGGAACAATAAAATAGCGATCCAAGCATCATAGGGGACTAACCAGACAAGTTGGTTTAAGCCCATGAGGCTCCAGTTCTTAACTTTATTTGGAGCCCCTCAAATTAAGAACAATCTCATTGCCATGTTTTGATGAGTTGCCAACAGCAGTGATATGATGACATTTGCAGAAAATCGCACTGAAAATCTACATCTGCTCTTGATTTGATCAAGCGATGTTTTAGCTCTGTCTTTCTGTGCTACTTACCTCAGTGTCAGTAGATCTACTCATTTTAAGATGTTTGCTCTGGTTATCTCAACGGAAATATAACACTTCTATACAGTTGATTCATTATACTCTTTAATTTACTGATCCTATTCTAATTTTATAATAATAAAACTATACTATTCTAGTTCTAGAAGAACTTGTTCTTAGAAAATATATTAATTCCTAGCCTAATGCTAAAATTTAAATAGACATTAATACAGATAGCAATTATCAAGCTTCTTTCAAGTTTAAAGCCTAAAATAAATCAATAAAAGCCTAAAACTCACCAATTTGCGAGGGGAATGTTCTGTTTCTCTTCACGACCATGTAAAATTTCTGGTTCTTTATGTTGTGAGAGACACTAGTCATTTATGTCAGATATCCCCAAGAGAGAAGTTGACTTTTCTAGTGTAGTTTTGAGAAGGCTGCTGCTGTTTTCTATTTTATTTGTTGTTTATAGCAATAAGTATGTTCTCCAGATGAAAAGTAAACATAATCATTTCTCTCAGTTTCAGATGGGATTCTGAACATGTGTGGATATATCGTCCCAGAGTCACCAGTAATATTGTCCATTGGTTCCAATTTTACAGCATTTTGCATTCTCTATAATAATTGTCCTTATGGCAAAATTCGTGCTGAGCAAGTTATCTGGAAAATGAAAACAACAGCTGTTCCTAAAGAACAATATAGCATAATAAATGAAACTGTTTCTAGTGTAACATTCAATGATACTAGTACATTGGTTTCTCCTCTGACTTGCAACATTTTAGTACCTGGTGGTTTAGTACAGAACATCTATGGAATTCAAATTGAACTGGGCTGTAAGTCATTTCCTTTAATTTTTCTGTGGCTGGGAATGTGGGGAAAATTTTAATGCTAGAATATGTTAAATTACTTATCCTTTAAAGATCTTCCCATTGCATGTTCTTAAATTTTAGTTATACTTGAATTCAAAAGAGGACAAATCAGTATAACAAATATTCTGGCAAATGTAATGAGAAAGGCTAAATAATTTTTCACTTATTTAAGTACCATATAAAAATGAAAATATGTTTGTCTATTTACACAATTAGAGTATATTTTCTGAGAAAGTATGTTTACATTTTTAAAAACATGGAATTTTCAAGTTGCGTTAAGCTTCTGAAAAAGATTGAAATATTAGTAAGGTACAAAAATATTTGTGGTTAGATGGGCACGTAATTATTTTCTTTTTTATAATTCTTAATGAAAAACCACTACAGGGTTTGGGTATGCAATTTAATATTTTAAACACATGGACAATTTCCATATATTTGCTGCCATTAACTCTAATTCAGTTATGGTATTAGATGTGCTAGGCTTAACATTAATGAAATGATGGTCATGCAAGAAAATATAAAGAAGGGAATCTGGAAAGTATTTCCTTTTTGCATTGGATCAAGGTCCCAGCTGTGATCTTTGATATAGGAGAAAGGAATGGTATTTGGGAATTGCAGATATTCCAGCCCATGCTGTTTATAGAAGTGATTTTAAGCATTCCACAGAAGCTTGACAAGGGTAAATGAAAGAAGAGGGATGGAAAATGTATTTGCATGTATCATTTTGTTGTCACAATTTTGAACTAGTTTCTGCTATGTTTTGGGTTTTTTTTTCTTGCAGTTCCTCCTGAGAAGCCTACAAACTTAAGCTGCATTGTGATTCAGACAGAAGCATCATCCTTTATTCATAGATGTTCCTGGGAACCTGGAAGAGATACGTTATTGAGCACTAATTATTCTTTAAAGCATAGGTGGTAAATATCTTTTAAAATGAACCACTTAATTTTTTAATGTGTTTGATTAATTTTAAAGGAACTCCTGATCTTCTCAAATTAATGGTTTCATATCACAAACCTGAAATATTTTATGCAGCTAGAAATTGTGGGATCAGTTTCCCAGTGAACTGTAAGCAGTTCTAACAGTTTGTTCCAAGACATGTTTCAATTTAAGTAAAGAAGTACTTAATTCAGCTTTAAGCTCACTTCTTAGACTAAAATAAATTTCATTTAGTTCTGTGATATTTGCTTGTGATTAATTCTGTCTCAGATTATGTGAGTGTGTCCTTGTAGATACTATGACATCAAGATATTAATACATTTAATATATCAAAACGTGTTTCTTTTCTTTATCTAGGCCAACTTCAACATTTTCTGATTGTATACCTCAAGATAGTAATAATTCTTGTACTATTCCTGATGTCGTCTTTTTTGTCACCTTGGAAATGTGGGTACAAGCCAGAAATGAACTTGGAGTAGCTGAATCTGACCACATTAAATTTGATCCCATAACTCGTGGTAACTATGCTCCTTTCCATTAATGAATGCTAAAGAACTCTCTTTAATTCTTTCACTATCATTTGAAATCTTTTCCTCCCCCCACAAATAGTCTGAATTTAAAGAAGAATATGACTCAAAACATATGAGCCTCTTCTACATAATATTTGTCAACAGCTTTTTGTAATACCTGAATGTCTTTCCTGGGCTCCTGCAGCTTCGTTTAATCTAAAAAAAAGGCTTTTGGTTAAATGAATTGCCAGCAGGAGCCATGAGCACATTCGTGCATGCTCCAAATCCAAATGTCAAGAAGTACTGTATATAATTCTAAATGCAGAACATTGGAGTCAAAATTAATTGAATATACTCAACAATAAAACATTTTTTCTCCCTTTGTTCCTAGTGAAACTACTGCCTCCACACAAGCTGTCCCTCAATTCAGGAGAATTTCCTAGAATCCTAAGGATATCATGGGAAAACAGATTTAAAGTAACTCAAACCTTGAAATATAAAATTCAGTATAAGATTTTGAACAGCAATGATTGGACTGAGGTAATCCTATAGCTATTTTTTATTATGACAATTTCTGTTTTATCGTACAGATAGCCCTCAACTAGCAACTGATCAGTTAGCTACTGTTCAAAGTTATGATGGATCTCCTGGCATACTTGTGACATGATTCCGAATTTATGATGGCCACCATTCCCTTCCCCACAGACATATGACTACATTTAGGGCACTTGTCAACCAACTTGCATTTATGGCCGTTTGTACTGATACATGACCACATTTTGTAATATTTTGGTTGATAGCTTGTATGTACTTCCACTTTTTGGCAAAACCAACCCATAATGAACAATTGGTTCATTTAATGACTAATTCAAAAAAGGTCATGGAATCAGATTGTGCATGGAAGAAACCCCACAAGTGTTGCACATCTGAAAGCAATTATGGAGGGCTAGGAAACAAAATCTGGCTAATGTCAGAAGCTGGTAGGCAGTCATAATAAATGCTTACTTAAGATTACTTCTACCAGATATTAGAAGCAAGGTGTATTTACCTTTTACTCAAAAAGAAATGAATAAGTCTCTTAATTTTTTGTTGAATAAATCACATGATGTACAGATAGTCCTCAACTTATGACTGCAATTGAGCCTGAAATTATGATCCTAAGTTATGGCAGTCAGTAAGTGGGTCATTATGTGACTGCCCAATTTTATTGCCATTTTGTGGCAGCTGTTAAGTGAATCCATTTTCTCCAGTGGATGTTTTTTGCCAGAAATTGGAAATAAATGCTTCACATCATAAAACATGGTGAAACTGGGATGGTACATACAACATGGCCATTTTAAAGTTTGTGTGAGTGTCATAGTGAACGAGTATCATACACTTACAAAATTCAGTTTTGTTTTCAGATTCCACCTGAAGATACAGCTTCACGGAGAACTTCCTTTACTCTCCAGGCACTCGAGCCAAATACAGCGTATCAAATTAGATTGTGTTGTGGAATTAATTTGTCAAAGTACTGGAGTGATTGGAGTGAAGTAATTGGATTCACTGCTGAAGACAGTAAGCAATGTTTATAATTGTTTGTTTATCTGGCCCCATGATGTCAATACATGAAATAGTTATATGTCTACCCTGTAAGCTAAAAAGAGCATAAAAGGAGATCTATAACTCCATGAGCAAAGAGCCTGAAAATGGATGATCATTGCTGTCAAGGATGAGATGTCTGATACTTAAAATTATTAATATTATCTCTGAAATTAGTAATTATCTTTGCTTCAACAATCTCCATTGGTTATATAAAAACTTTAATCATAATATTCCTTTGAGGATTATGTATTTTCAAATGTAGAGTTCAAGAGGGCTCTGACTGTGTAAATAAAGAATTAAAATGACTTTTAGGATCATCACAGAAAAAATACAGGACAGATAATACAAAATTTTACAATATTACAAGATAATTGTTTCAGGTATTATGGATAAAAATTACAGAGGCTGAGATATTCCATCTTCTGTAAATTATACAGCATTTTTACTTTAGCTTGAAAATTGATATTAATGAAAAATCCACTAATGCAGAGAAAGGGACTCTTGGGTGATGGTTTGGTGCACAGTATTGTGGAAGTCTTGTACATTTTTAATAACTTTTCAGTGTTACCATAGGATATTTAATACCACTAGAAGATTAAAATATGTAATCCTATCTCACATTGTTGTTAAGCTTTATTATAATGAAGCATATGTCAAATTGACTTTTTTAATTTAAATATGCATTTAATAAAATGAATAGTGAGATTTTCTAAAATCTAGATGTTTGAATTTTATCCTCGTTTTAGAACCATCTAAAGGACCAGTTCTTTGGCGTAACATTAAAACTTCTGACTCAGCAGGAAATTGGACATTAAGCCTTCTTTGGAAGGTAGGAAAAAAATATGTATCATGAATGTCTGGCTTTTGATGTTCTTGGCAGCAGTAGTTATCTTTCATGTTGTAATACATTCATATATTGCAAGTAAATGTACAGTGTTGTAATGAATAGTATCGCTATTGCTTAGGGCAGCAACTTCATGATGTATCCTTTGGGACAGATATAAATACTAAAAACCAAACATAGTGTAAAGTAGTGTTTCTCAAACTTGGCAATTTTAAGATGGATAGATTTCAACTCCTACAGTTTCTAAGCCAGACAGTTGCCATGGCTGAAAAACACTGGTATAAGGGATTTGCATTGATCTGAGGGCTATACTTGGCTTTTAAATGACATGAAACTATGTTCCAAAAAGTAGCTAAGATCATGACAAGATCTATTTTTGATCTAATTTAATCACTTCCCTTATGTTTAATCATTTTCTTCAGTTAACTATCAAAATTACAAATCAGTGAACTCAGAAGGGGGTAAGAAACTTTAATAACTCCCTAAAGCAGGGGTCCCCAACCTTTTTGATTCTGTGGACTGGCTTTGGCGGCTTCAGGAGAATGGTTTGCCCATGCAATCTAAACCCCACGCATACGCAAATGAAGCTCCACACACTCGCCTGCTGCTTCGGTGACCCAGTTTCCAACAAGTTATGGCAAGTTATGGTCTGTGGCCCGGGGGCTGGAGGTCCCTGCCCTAAAGGCTTTCCAAGACTACACCTCTCTTAGGAGGATAGGAAAAGATAGGAAACCTTTTTACTGTATAAAAGATACATAAAAGTTTTTTAGCCTTTGGTGCTGTGTGTTCTAAAGAGTCAAGTGGCATCCATAAATCCTTCTGTTATAACCATATATGCATACATTTCACTGGGTTGTAGAAGTCTTAAAAGGTTGTTTGAGAAATCTCATAAGAATTTGGATCATACTCTGTTTTGAGTGGAATTTCTTGAAAAAAGTGAAAGAATATGATTGATGTCGATAGCTATTGAAGTTGGTAAGGAAATCAGATTTTAGCCTATAACTGCATTTAATAAAATGTAGTTAAAAGCAGCAGAGTTAATGAAGCATAATTAGATTGTGCTTTTCTTCAGGTAGACACCGATTACCACTGCATGTTAACTTCTCTAAGATATTAACAATGACATTAAAATTGAATGTATAAAACATTAATTTGATTTCTTTGTAAACATTCTCAAGTCATTCCTATATATTATGTGTATTTGTAATTCTGTTTTTTGATCATCTGAATCAGTGTCCAAATATTGATGAATATTATTTCTACCTATGTGTGGAATAAACAGAACATGAATAACAGAAAGTGGATCTTTTGGGAACAAAGCCTGTGTAATGGTGGATAGGAGTCTGGAAAGAGCCACAGCTAGGACAGGTTGTTTAAGAGGCAACTTAGCCCCCAGAAGAAGTGAGGGTGTGGCAAATGTCTCAGAAAGGACCCTCTATACTGGAAAGGCAACTGGAAAGAAAAACAGACTTTCAAGATACTGTTAATGTAAACTTATAGCAAAGTAAGCTATTATTTCTGGGTGAGCTTCTTGTCTCGACTACCTCAAAGATGTACTGTACATCCTGTTATGATATTCCCATTCAGTCTGTGGCACCCTCCTTTTGATGCATTGAGTTCTGTTCTGGTAAACAAGGTGATTTCTGATTTCTTAGGTGACATTCTTTCTTCTTTTTAACTATTTAGATCTTTCCTAGGATAGAAGAATAGATAGAAATACAAAATTGAGCCCACAAGCTTTTGAGAGCATTTCCTGTAAATTAAGTCAATTCTTAATGCAGTAAGGTCCAGTATTTGCTTCCTGACAAAGCCACTTGTACAAGGATTTTGGGTAAATTTTCTGTTTGGAACAGAAATGTTGCATTAGTTGGATGAACATCTGGATGTGTATAAAGCATTTTCTTCATATATCATTGCTGAATCAAATAAATCTATTTTTTAACAGGAGTTGAGTCCTTCTGAAGCAAATGGAGTAATTTTGGAATATAAAGTATCTATTTCAGGAAGACCACCACTTTCTTTTCCAACTAGACATTACAGTCTGAATATCACCCAACTGGTTTTAAATGTAGAAAATGGGACATACGATGTGAGGGTTACAGCAGTTAACAAAGCCGGTGAATCTCCTACATCGGTTTTGCTTATTCCAGCAACTAATTCAAAAGGTAAAAGTTTTTCACATAATTTAATGAGGGGCAAAAATTCTAAATATTAACACTTCTGTTTTCTTATGGGGGCAGTCCAATCTTATTGAAGCCAGTTTGGTTTAGTGGTTAAGGAACCATGCTAGAAAGTAAGAGACTGACTGAGTTCAAGTATGCCTTAGTTATGAAAGTCAACTGGGTAACCTTGGACTAGGCTAATCTAAACTCATTCTAAGCCCAGCTGTCCTCACAGGGTTGTTGTGGTTGTGGAGAAAAAGGAGGAATTTAGCACTTTCAGTTATTTAGAAAAGATTTTCTTCTATTTGTTCTACATTTAAAACAATTGTCTTCAATTTTCTTCAAAGATAAATTTTAAGAAACAGTTCATCTTTATTGCAACATAGCTGTACTAATTATTTTAATTAGTTTTTTTAGTGAATAGATAAAATATTCCATTTAGGAATCTTAAATATGATGTTTTTTACATATGCAAGATTCCTAATTAGATCTTAATGTTTCAGTTGAACAACTGGCTTATGATATAGTAATATGGTATGGATCTAGGATATCTGAAAAACAGTTTCAGCTCTGTTGACTAGCCCATCACACTTGTCCTAGTGAAAAAGGCCTTTGGATCCTGTTGACCAAAGAATGATAGCTGGCAGAGTCCAGGAGAAGATCTGCTCTGCCGTGCCCCCTACCCCATTGAATATTTTCCTGTTGGAGCTAAGATTCTCTCCCACTTCTGGCCTTCTGGAAGAGTTTCAAAACTTAGCTCTGCTGCTTAGCCAAAGGTCCTGACAGACCTGCTATGTTTGGGGGTGACTGACCAGCTAGAGAAAATCTCTATCCCAAATCACCCATCACCTTGGTTTTTAGCTTTTTTAATTCAGTTTTTCTAATTTTAATTGTTTTAGTACATACTACTTTTTGTTATATTGTAAGCCATCCAAAGTTGCTCCATCAGTGAGATGTGTGGCATAGAAATTTAATAAATAAATAAAGTTTCAATAGATATTCTATACAATACATTTTAAAATTTATTTTCCTTTCCTAAAAATACATTTGCTGCTATAGGAATGCCAGATATGAGAATTTAAAAACACTTTAAACCAGGGGTGTCAAATTCGATTTCATTGCTGGTGTTTGATGTCGGGGGTCCAGGGTGGGTGTGACCAGCTCGACATCACTCATGTCGGGGGTGACTTTCGTGGTCCGAGTGCTCTGCCAGTGAAAACGGGAGTTCTGTTTCCGGCTGCAATGGCGTCCTGCAACCCTCTGCCAGGGAAAATAGAGCCCTGTAGGGCCGCCTGTGGCCCACTCGAGCTCCGTTTTTCATGACAGAGGCACTGCGAAGCAGTCCTTCACTGTTTCTAGAGCCCCAAATCTAAGCGCCCTGCAGGCCAGATTCAGCCCAAGGGCCTTGAGTTTGACACCCCTGCTTTAAACTATTGAAGCCAGTCGGGTGAGAATAGTAAAAGTGCTTTAATATCTGAATTCTCTCTCTTGCTCTCACTGTTAAAAAATCTTTGAGATTTTATTCTACTTCTAATTATTTCTTATTACTGTAGACATCTGCTCTGGCTTAGTCAGAAATATGTTGGGATTCAGTTGTTCATATGACCAGTTATATAACAAGAATCTTCAATTGAATTTTGGTGTTAAAATTAGGAACGCTGTAGAATGCTAGAATTTTCACTTTATATCTTTTGCAGAATTAAGTTTTTCTCTCCCCCTCCCTCCTAATTTCAGCTCCTGTGAAGAATATTGTTGCATTTCCTGAAGATGGCAAACTCTGGGTAAATTGGACACCTCCCAAAGAGTTAGTTAGTAACTACATAATTGAATGGCAAGAAGCATGTAGCAATTTAAACTGCCCTATTGATTGGCAGCAGGAACCTGGCTCAAAACGGAGAACATATTTAAAAGGTAACCCTAAAGAAGAAGAAAGAAAATTCTTTAGATGCAGTTATTTCCTTTAAAAACAAAACCAACTCTTATTCTTTATATGTTTTACCCACCATTCTATACCTTTTAAGGTAAAACATATGCAAAATGCGGAAAAGGAATAAGAAATAATATACATTTATAACTAATATAAATATTATTATAATACATCTTATAAATTTATAAGAAATAGTAAATGAAAGAAATTAAGGCCTGAGATATAAAAAAGAAATTAAATCTAAATCTGTATGCCTCCTAGGTTTCTGGCCTTAGTCATACCTGTGGGGCAATCAGTATTCCTAACTAACAGTAAAGGTGAATTTTAGTATTTCAGCATTTTCAAACCAATATACCACTTTTCCATGTAAGCTAGGACCTTTAACCTGGAGACAGCCAACATATTGTAGAGTTGGAAATTAGTAAGGTTTGTGTTTTCCTTTTTTTTTCATAACCTGAAAGCTGCCCAGAGTCACCTTGTAGAGGAAATGAGAAGTAAATAAATAAATAAAATTGCACCAGTTATCAGCAGGGGAGCAAGAATGTTCATGTTACAAATCCTTTTTTCCTCAATACAATAATTCCCGAATGACATCATTTCAACAAAAGAACTTAAATTGCTGTTCTGTTGCCTGTCAGAATGTGACTTAATTATGACATAAGGAATGTGCCTGTCTGCTGTTCAAATTTCCACTGTATGCACTATTAGTTTGCAGTTCACTGAATCCAAAAGACATTTTGTTTTGATTCTTTACTGGAGATACTACCTCAGCATCTCATCTGCTCAAAGAAAGCCTAGAAAATAACGTTGGGGGCACAGTAATAAAATAAGTTGTGTCCTTGAGTTTTGAAACTTCTTGTGGAGCAGATTTGGAAATTGATTTAGAATTGTAGATATTAAATAGGGTTTTTATTTTATTTTTTTGCAGCAGGCTGTTATTTAAAGCTTGTTATGCATGAAGCGCACCTGAAGGTATTTTAGTTGTATGGATGTCATTCCATTTATTTTAGCTGCTAAGAAGAAGCTGGTAAAGGAGAGACTTTCAACTGGAAGGTTTTTTTAACAAATGTTGTACATCCTTCTCTGATACTGCCAAGTGAGGAAGCCATGTGACATTTTATGATAGCTTTGACAAAAAAATTCCCTCCAGGAATTACGTGTTTTTCAAGGAAAACTATGCTCATAGCAAACCATTGTTCATTTAATGACTGCAGATTCACTTAACAACTTCAATGCTTAACAACACTGCAAAAAAGTTATTAGGTCAATCACGTCACCTACTCATTAACAGGTGTTTTGACTTAGGACTAATAAAGGGCAGTTATGACCATTATAGTGATAACTCAAGGACTATCTATGCCACCAATTCTGACAATTTGGAAAAAAGTAAATTGTCTTCAAGCTTTGTGTACATTGATTACAATTATTTATATCTTGCCAATAACAATCCTAAAGCAGCTTGCAGGCAATATTAAACAACTGCAAAAAAATTAGAAAGTTTTCAAGCATTTCTAATGCACAAGCACTTTTTGCTACTGTACCTAGCAATATCTCCAGTTGTTTTCAAATGTCTCCGAAAATAGTTACTACAAAATTAAGTTAAATTTCTCTCTATGAGGAAATATGCATGTGAGAGGGTATCTCTTGTACACAACATTAGCATTTTTAATTTATGTAAATACAACCTGTAAAATTCTTTTTTAGGAACCATAAAACCATACAAGCGTTACATCATAACAGTGTATCCCTTATATAGCGGCGGTCAAGGAGAAGGAGAATCAACACAGGCCTATCTTCAGCAAGATGGTAAGTTTACTACCACTGCAAGTGCTTTCTTGAGGATGTCACAATGCAATAATAGATTTATGATATTATTTATAAAACATTACCTAATTTTCATAATAAATTGATTACCAAAGTGGAGTACAAAACAGTAAAGTTATAGGACTGTATTAGCTGCAATCATAAAATATGACAGTAAGGACAGACAAAGAAAGAAATTGGATGCCAAAACATGTATCCAAAATAAAAGCCTAGGTGAACTATTGATGCTCCAGGTAAAATTGAGCAAGGCTGTTGATTGTAATGCTTTTTGTGAATGCAAACATAGGCAATTTACAAGTTACCAAAAGAACCTCAAACTGGTTGATGGTATAGTGGCAACTAGTGCTGCTCCTTCATGAAAGTTGATATAGTTCTAGCACAGTGATGGCGAACCTTTTTGCTGTGGTTTGCCGAAAGTGTGCATGTGGTAGCATGTGCGTGTGCATCCTGGCACCCACAATGCAATGCGCCCCACCCCCTTACCTGCACTACACATGCGCGCACCTCCCAGATGATGTTCGGTCCATTTAAGGCCTTTTTTGGCCTCCCAGAGTCTCGAGGGAAGCCTCTGCAGCCTTTGGAGGCCAAAAAATGGGCCTCCAAATATCGGAAGTGATGGAACAGGCCTGGTTTTTGACCTCCAAAGGCTGTAGAGGCTTCCCTCAAGTCTATGGGAGGCCAAAAAAGGCCTTAAACGGGCCGAATATCAGCTGGGAGTCACGTGTATGCACAGTGCAGGTAAGTTTGGCTGGGGCTTGTGTGCACGCATAAATGGCTCTGCATGGCACCTGTGGCACGCATGCCATGGGTTCGCCATCACGGTTCTAGCAGGATGTCCTTTTAATAGCCTTTCAGCATTTGCTCTACTGCATCTTGCAGACAAATCCCAAAAGTCAACTTCAGGTAATTTTTCATTTCCTTCTGTTCTGAATTTATGTAGCTTACAAAATAGAACATGTTTATAAGAAAACTAATTGTTGACCTTTAGGGAGGAAAACTTTTAAAATATTGTTTATTTCTAGTGCCTGCTACTGGGCCCAGTGTTCAAACAAAGAAACTTGGAAAGTTTGAAGTTATTTTAGTATGGGAACCTCTTTCAGTGGAACAGCAAAATGGGTTTATCAAAAACTACACCATTTCCTATAGAACAGGGACTGGAGATGAAAAAGGTAATTATGTTACTAATTTTTAGTTTTTTAAATGATATCCTAGCCCAAGGTTTCAAAGTTTACTTTAGGCTTTACCAGATCCAGACTGCAAAAATTCAAAAAAAAATCACTAAATGGCAGCAGAGGGATACTATCCATCTAGATTTGTGGATGAACCTTACTTGCCAGTTGCTTCTTGTACACAAAGACTCTTGTTCACAGTCTTGTACTATGTTGTGGCATTCCTTGCTCAATATCACTCATGCACCTTTCATATAGATTACTGCAATGCATTCTACATTGTATTGCCCTTGGAACAGTATTTAGAAGGTTCAGCTGGTGCAAAATGTAGGCATATTATACTTCCATTCTGTGGGCTGCCCTGCCTTGGTTGCCAGGTTTATTCTGGCTATAACACAAAATGCTAGTGATAAGCTATAAAGCCTTTCATTGCCATGGGACTGGCTTATCTGAGGGACCACCTCTCTTCAATTACATATAATCTAATCAGATCTGAGAGGAAAGTTACGTTTTGGGCCACGTCAGCCAGGGAGTATGTTTTTTGGCTGGAGCCTAGAAGGAGAGCCTTCTCTGTCATGGTTTCAACTGTATGGAACATCATTTCCCGTCCCCGCTGCCACTCCCACTTTGGAGATCATACTGATCCTGTTAACTTTTCGCAAAGCCCTGAATATACTAGAGCCTGCACAGTGGCTGTATTGACTGTAAGGATGGATGTGGGCAGGAGTGGGATTCTACCAGTTCGCACCTATTCGCTAGAACCGGTTGTTAACATTCTAAGCAGTTCAGAGAACCGGTTGTTAGAAGAAATTACTGGCCTAATCCTGTTAAGGAAGGCAGAAAGGAAACATTCTGGTGTTGCTTACTGAAACTGCCTCTCTGTTAACCCTTATTACGGTTTTGGCAGGACTAGACTTCCTGTCTCAGGAACGTCTCTGGAGTTTTTTTTCCCTCCTTTGCTGGTACTTTGCTTGTGTGTGGAGTGACCATTCAGAGTTACAGTGGCACTGAAAAAAGTGTCTCATGACCATTTTTCACACTTACGACTGTTGCAGCATCCCCACAGTCATGAGAGGCCAGGCGAGGAGATGCATGCCTCGATGTGAGTGATATTGAGTTGGCCACGCCCACCCAATAACATGGCCATCAAGCCATGCCCACCAACTTAGCCACGCCCACAGAACCAGTTGTTAACAAATTTGAATCCCACCCCTGGATGTGGGATTCAAAGCTATAATTTTGAATTTCCTGATAGTTTTTATATGGCTTAATATTGTTTTTGTTATTTAAATTATTCCATTGTTTTTCTGTGTTTCTTTTTTAACTTTATGAGCTGCCCGAGTTGCGCATTGAGATGGGCAGCTGTATAAATTCAATTAATAAATAAATGAAATAGTGCAAAGTAATTGTAGTAAATATGTGCAGTCACACCTTGGCACTCGATTGCTTCAAAACGCAATGCATTTTTGAAGCAGTAATCTTGTCCCAGCACTGGTCTTTCTCCCAGTAATCGACATGCAAGGGAGAATTTGCTGACATTGGCTATCTCATGACTTACTATTTCCTCCAGCCAAAATAGTGGGTCATGTTGTAAGTCACATAGTTTTCTTGGTACATCAGTTCTGGTATTTGTCACATCTTCCAGAACAAATTATCAACAGGGGCCGAGGTGCCACAGTATTTTATCCAATATAGTGTGTGCATGTTATGATATGCAGTAATATTAATACAGAATATTTTGTCAGAATTAATAAAATTAGAAATGAAGGTTGGACTATAGTGAGATCAGATCTAAATGTTGTTCTTTGAATTAAGGTTAAAGAAAACTAGTTTGGATAGATTTAATGTAAAATATTGTCAATCTTATTTTTTTAATTTCTAGTTGTGGCTGTGGACCCTTCAAAAACGGAGTACTTACTATCATCCTTATTAAGTAATACTTTGTATGTAGTGCATATGACTGCATACACAGAAAGTGGAGGAACAGCTGGTCCTCAGTTTACATTTTCTACAAACAGATTTGGTAAGTTTTGTATATTCCAGTTTGAAAAGAATCAGCTTGGGATGAAATACTTCCCAAGTACCCATTAAAGTTCCTCCTTTTTTAGACCACTTGAAAGTCCTGTATAGATGGTTTGATTACTTTGTTCTGTATTATGTACCCTGGGAATGTGGCATAATTCACAAATTGGGTTATTTGTTTATTTTTGTCAATTTTGATTGTTTAATACAACATGTGAATTGTTCAAAAGGATAGGTATGATTCACTTGTTATTTTCATTATAAATTAATAGATTTTAGAAGGGTTTTTTAAATTATTTTGAAGTAAACTAATAAACTTTTGAAGAAAATGTGCTGATTTCCTTTTGTGTTTTCTTTTTCAGAGGATGGAGAAATAGAAGCAATTGTTGTTCCTGTCTGCATAGCATTTCTGCTAGTTACTTTATTGGGTGTATTAGTTTGCTTCAGCAAACGAGATATGTAAGTATCCTTAGTGGTACTCTCCCATACAGCACCACATATTCAGCACACAGTGTGTCATTCTTGATTGTACAAAGGAGGGAGAACTGCATTGATACTAAAGTACTCTCTGTGTGTGTGTGTATGTACATGTAATAATTCTGAGCTGAATATCACTTGTTATTTTTTTACTTGTCTTTTTCTTATTTTTCTCTAGGATTAAAAAACACATCTGGCCTAATGTGCCTGATCCTTCAAAAAGTGTAATTGCTCAGTGGTCACCGCAAACACCAGCTAAGGTAAAAAGAAAAAAACAAAACAAAATTAGATTGTAAGCTAATTAACAAAAACATAACAAAGCAATGAGAGAGGCAATTTTCACTATTGGTTCCAGATGTGGCATCCTCTCCTAATTCCCTAGGGTTGATTTATGGAGAACTACACAGTTGGGATTGGTTGGGGAAATTGAAAAAGAACAAAATATCTTCTCCGTTCTGTCAACCTAATGTTGAATTAGAGTTTACATGGAGAAAAGATACTGTTGCATTTGATGAAGAACTCCACTGGAATCCAGACCAAATCTTCAACTAAATGCAGAAAATGTAATTATTTTCTTATATGGTATATTTAAAAACAACAAATCCTAATATCGTAGAAGCTTCAGTATATAATCACCTAATTTTTAAAAAATCAAAAGGACAAATCCCATATATTATGCAGAACTGTCAGGCTTGTACGGAATATAATGTAAATTCAGCAGAACATCTGGTATGACCTATCTGTGGAAAGTTGCATTCTCAGATCATGTGTTTTAGTAATGCAGGTTTAAGTGAGATAGAAACCAGTCTGAAAGACCAAAGAGGCATTGCATGAATTTACTATTGAAGAAGCTTGACTTTCTGACAGAAAGAAAAGAATGATGAAGGCAGACTAAAGATCACATCAAATGAATATAGTTTTGATTTAAAATCAAATTGCGTCACAGATAATTATAATGATATTTTTGTCTTTTTTTAAAGCATTTTAATTCAAAAGAGGAAATATATCCAGAGGGCAGTTTTACTGATGTCAGTGTTGTAGAAATTGAAGCTGAAGACAAGAAATCCCTTTCAGATCAAGATCTGAAGCCTTTTGACTTGCTTAGAAAAGAGAAGAATGCCTCAGAAGGTCACAGCAGTGGTATTGGAGGTTCATCCTGCATGTCTTCTCCTCGACAAAGTGTTTCAGATAGTGATGAAGGGGAACCTGCTCAGAACACTTCCAGCACTGTGCAGTACTCAACTGTAATACCCAGCGGCTACCGGGATCAAATTCCTTCAGTGCAAGTCTTTGCCAGGTCTGAATCTACGCAACCTCTCTTAGATTCAGAAGAGAGGCCAGAGGATCAACAGATGCTTGGAAATGACAGCTCAATACCCAAGCATCGTTACTTCAAGCAAAATGGTAGCTGGGATGACACAGCCCCAGATTTCGAAAAAGTCAAACAGATTTTTCCAGTAAGTGAGGAAGATACTACCAGGCTTCCAACATCACAAGTGGGTGAATCTGGCCCAGAAACAGATGAAAAGGGAATGGACTTCGTAACTGCATTTTCTCCTAACCTAATGGAGCAGGCTGGGCAGCTTGAAAATAACACAGATATGGTAACAAATGAAGAGGTGCCCAAGAGCTACCTTCCACAGACTGTACGGCAAGGTGGTTATATGCCCCAGTGAAAAGAAAATACTGTTTTGCTCTGATAAATTAAATAGGTTTTTTTTTTTAAAAAAAAAATCATGCTTCATGTGAAAATCAGGCTCATCTATGGAAGCTAATTTGGACAACATGGGATTTGGGAAATTTGAACGGACTTTTAAAGGAAACTTTCTAGATTTCCATCGATTTTTTTTCCTTCAAGCACTACATATATTCAACTTCGGAGATACATTTATTACATTTCAGGTTTGTCCTGGGCATTCCACTTTGTTTTTAATGTAGAATATAAAGCTACATTCACTTTCATAAAGACATATAAGTCATGAGTTTATAATTGCAAATACTTCCCTGCAGTTAAGACCATAAGAGGTTAAATTGTATATTATGAATGCTCCATTTGTGATTGTCTAGCACCAATGTTTCAAGATAATGTTTTGACTACAGTAAGAGTTATCCAGAAGCAAATAGTTTACTGGCCAAACAATTGCTTCTGGCGGAATATAAACATTACATGGGTCTAGCACAGCTGCATAATTACCTAAAAATGTTTCATTTGCTTGGGCTCTTTCTCTGACTGTAGCATGTTACTTGTGTCAGCTGATGAGTGAATAATTGAGTGAATGATCAGCTAATTGAATCACAATTATGTCAAAAAGTTGACTGCTAATATTTCATGTTGACTTTTGACTGCCAGTATTTCATGCTTTTGTATCTTGCACTTTGAGCCATATCTGCAGAAATGTAAATATTATATTTGGAAATCCTATAAAGTTAAGTTTGTGTATATGCTTATTTTATTACCATATAATCATAGAGGGCAATTGTTAAAGAATATATACCATTCTTTTGTTAACCATTAAAATGCCAGGTTCTGTATTCATCCTGTACATAATTATGAAGGCTGGAAACCACGCAGCTGGGTTATTGAAGACACCATGCTGAGCTATGGTCTTTGTTTTTCAGTTCAGTGTTCTCCTACCTATGAAGAAATTTATTTCTTGGAAATATCGGTTCTTTTGGTTCATACTAGTTTATTAAAAATAATTTCCACAATGCATTAATAGCCTAAATGTCTTTTGATGCAGTCCAGGAACACTCAAAATTTATAAGAATTAAAGCTTATTTGATGATTTTTAACTAATATGTATTCATATTGGAACTTTAGAAATTATCACCATGATCATTTTCATGATCCTCTTTTTCTTCAGGAGGGTATTATCAGTAGTAACGGACAATTTATACAGTAGACAAGCTTATCAGTTACACAACACAAGCTCAAAATATAACCACAAATATATTTAATACTTTTCAAAAGTTTCAAGTATGAAATTGGCTCTGAACATGGATGTATTCTTTCCATAGCCTTAAATGGCATGATTTTACTCTGCTTTTTCTGCATGTGTCATTGTAATATTTCCATGCTTGGGAGTGAAGTCAATGCAAGCCTAGTTAATCACAATTTATTATGATTTGGCTGTTCACAGTTTTCTCTTTCTCAGAAATTCAAATTATTTTTTGAAAGCTAACCATTTAATGCCTATTCATTGAAATTATCCTACGCTGAATCCTAGAAAATGAGCAGAACTTGTTAATTGATGAAAAAGGAATGAATTGTAAAGATAATCCACAATTCTTGCCAAGTTGTCCTCAAATCCTGATGGAGAATTTCCAAGCATAATGGAGAAATTTGATTCTCTATCTTGTGGTGTAGTCAGTCCATTATTTTGTATCTCTTTACATCAAATTAAATGTCATTGCTGTGAAATCCCTTTCAATGTTTTTTTAATGGCACTTCTCAGGTGCTTCTCTGAACCTTTATATTTTTAAAAGTTTTCAGTCTACCATGTAAGCAAACCATTTTGAACATGTTTCCTCTTAAATACAGCAAATAAAATCAATTAATTTTATAATTCCTATATATTCTAATTGTGGAATGCACCAAGAGTGTTCGTTAACATTGTACAAAAGCACTGCTATCTAAATTGAAGAGTACTATGTGTCATGGTGTTACTCAAAAAACAAATTACATCACAACAGTGTAACTTCAAATATATAAGAATGGTGCTCAGAATTGTATTACTTCCTTATAATTTCTCCAACCTTTTCACCACCTGTATTAATCTCCTAAATTTTTAGTTGGAAAATCTTTGCATTGTTAGTTCTCACTTGGAGTATACTTTATAATATACTTGCTAGCACACAGAGCATTTTCTCAAGTTCACAATTACTACCTTAATCTGGAAAATGATAGAACAGTGTGACAGTATCTCAAAAATTCCCGCTAGCAAAGGGATGGAAAAAGGGCTGGTTTTATTGTTTGTTTAAAATACCAGCTCTCAAGCTGGGTTAATTTTTTTTTAAAAAAAATAGCCTTCAAACCAAGTTTCCCCCAAAGAGACTTTCAATCTGAGCAAGGTTTAGAGTATTGGGCTTTGCTTTCTAAAAATGGATTCCCCCATGGAAAAATTTGACATTGAAAGCCGAGATAGGGAGCCTCAGTTCCTTCCTTCAAGGTTGGAGTTTTTCCTGATCTCCAAGAAGGAAACTCATCAGTCTTATGACTCCTGCTGGAACAGTATTTTTTTCAAATTTGGCAGCTTTCTGATGAATGAAATACTGGCTGAGGAATTGTGTTTAAAGCCCCCTCATCTTAAAAGTTGCCAAGCTTAAAAAATGATAGACTATCACAGGGGACATATTTCAGCATAAATGTATTTTTACAAATTTGATTTAATCACATTTTAAGCCTCAATTTCTTCATTACTATGAAACAAATTAATCAACCTATCATTACCATTATTTTTTAAAGTAAGCATTGACTCCAGTGTTGGAATTGGAACATAATTCTTTTTGTTGCAATTTATATCATCATGGTATGTAGCCCTTAGTTTTACCATTATTGTGAACATCCACTCAAGTCAATTTGGTATTAAGTTCTAATAAAATTCATCAGATAAATTGAATGTTGCATTGTAAAAATTTGTGACTGAATAGGTACAGAATAACAATATAACACTTTTAACTAAAATAGTTCAAAGTAATTCTATACCTCGATTTTTTAAAACATACAATGAAAAAGCAAGTATTCGAGGTTTACTTTTATTACATCTGAAATAAATTGATATGATTAGGAAAGTGTTTAATCCTGAGACTTACAATCAGAACTTCCTTGCATGTCAATAGGAATGCTGCTTGCTCTTCATGCCTTAAGCTTGAGGGCAGATTAGTAGGAAAGGAAGAAAAGCCAAGAAAAGTTACAATGATTTTAAGGGTTGTTTTCTTTTTTGTTTTGACCTGTTCCTCAGGTGAAACCAACAATTTAACTTTAGTGTTATTATATATCAAAGCAGTTATTAATATATGTAGAGACTGCGTGAATAAATAAGCTGCTTACTTACTGAAATATCTATTAAGAATTGAAAAAAATAATCAGGCAGAACTAGACAAGATGTTGACCACAGCAGTGCAATGCCTATTTTTATATGTATTGTGACCACCATTTTGACTTCTTGACCATGTCCTAGGAAAACCCAATGATGATCATAACTTGCTATTTAATTGATGACTACAGCTAATTAAAACTAAGAGGTTAATTTGTGACATCATGAAATAGCAATAGACTTGTATACCACTTCACAGTGCTTTACAGCCCTCTCTAAGCAGTTTACAGAGTCTGCATATTGCCCCCAACAATTTGGTCCTCATTTTACCAACTTCAGAAGGATGAAAGGCTGAGTCAACCTTGAGCCGGTGAGAAGAGAACTCCTGGAGTGAGCAGTGAGTTATACTGCATTCTACCACTGCACCAATATCGCTATGCTTCATTAAAAATGGAGTCCCTGCATTGGGCTTTTGATTAGTATTAAATTCTAAAATGACAGTTCGAAAACTTGTCCAATTACCAATCGTAAAAAAAGATTAAAAATGGTTTGATAATTGTAAATTACAATTGAGCGTGTATGTTGCTAAAATCAGGAATTGTTAAGGTAAAAGGAATCGGAATATGTTCATTTTCTGTTGTATGACAAAGTAGCATTTAAAACATTGCATCTCGACTTTGGCAACTTTAAGCTGTGTAGGCTTCAACACCCATGTTATATTAGCTGGGGAATTCTGGGAGCTGAAGTCCACACATCATTGCCGAGGTTGAGAAGCGCTGATTTAGGACTATAGACTTTTGCAAACTAATTCAGTCTTGATCAACACACCTTCCTCAGACCTGCGCTCTATACTATTTTTTTTTATCCACTGGAGACATATCAAACCAACTGGTATTGTAAACTGAAAGATTGATTAAGCTTTAGGATTTACTTCTTTGTCCTTCCATGTAGCAGATTCCTTCTCTATGGACAATGGAACTGTAAAAGAAGATGCCTTTATACCCAGCTCTTAACTGAAAAGCATAAACCAAAAAGAAAAAAGATTTATCTTAAAAATAGCTCTTTTTTAACCAAAGAAGCCAAAGAGAAAAGAGAAATCTCTTTCATTCGTGAGGGGGGATTGGGTTGATGTGAAAGGACTAGGGCAAACTTTATAGAAGCTTATAAACAGCACTTGCATTTATCAAATATTGTTGAAGAGCATTCAGTCCTAGATTTAGACTAAGGAAATTTGAAATTACGAATGTTTAAAAAGTACTGTATTTGATTTGCAGTTTAATCTATTAATAGTGCAATTTACTGAAATTTCACAGAATGTGTGTTATCTTTATCTGAACATTTACAACAGCCAAAATCATCTTTGCACTCCTTTTGCAAGAAGTGAAAGAGCCTGCAGTACATTTATTTGGCACATGTTGTTTACGTGCTGCTACTAGCTGGCTACCAGGAAGAGTTCACATTGCCATTGCCAGACATTGTTGCTTCACCTTTTCAGCAATTTCAGTGGACCTATAATGATGATTGAATCTCTGTCCATGAATGGGAGAGAACAAAGTGATCTATTGTATAAGTTGTCTTCTGAGGGCTAAAAAACTGAGAGTTACATTAAAAAGAAAGCAAAATGCATCTCAAAAGTATGAATAAGGCAACAGTGCTGCTACTATTGCAATGAAGATGTACACATTCATTATTTGATCTGACAAATCTGGAGAGTCTGGTCATTATAGCCAATTCAATTTGTATAATATACCAGTAATCAAGGCCTTTGACCTTTCTAGAAAACTCTCCGGATACTCCTTCCTCATTAATGTGAATGCCATGTTTGTTACTGTATAAATGTGAAAAACACTTATTGGCATTTAAATTTGTAGCTTTCAGTCTTTTCCCTGAATTGCTATTTGTGTATTTCTTTGAAATCCATTTATAAACAATTACAAAATTATTAGAAGAAAAGGCTATTATGTTGTTTGTGTTGTTGGCTTTTTTATTATAAGTTTTGATTGCTTTTAAAATAATAAATAAAATTGATGTAATTTAATGTGTATTTTTCTATTCTTGCTTTCTTTTTAGATGTTTTGTTACACTAGCAGAATTATTTTTACTCATATAATAATTATATGTTTGCAAATCAGTGGGAGAGATTGAGGCTGCATACATCAAGATACATATGGAAAGCTTCTAAACAATGTACAAAACTTTCTATAATATTGAAAACCATGCACTGAATGCTGCTATACCAAATGACAGACATTATTTTATTTAAATTATTTTGATACTACTTCCCATTTAAGAAAGAACAGGTTTATAGGTTAAACAATTGGTTAAAACATACTAAAGTGTTTTACAAAATAAAATAGCATCAAAGAAAAAAACTGCAATTATTACTATTTTTTAATCAACATTTAGCACATTACCAAAAGGCCTGGGAGAATGAAAAAGCCAGGCATAATCCTACCATAACTAGCAAGGAGGATATTCCATAGTCTAGAGATTACCAAGGAAAATGATAAATGTAAAGTATTATTTTAAAATTGCTTTATTTCAATTTTGTTTTGCTTCAAAGCATGAAAAGGAAACTGAAAAAGAAAAAAAATAAAGGAAACTAATATACATGTATAAGTAATATACTTAAGACAAACAGGATTTTAAACAATGAATTAAAAAGTGGAAACTATGCAAAATTTTCATCAATGCAAAATTTTAAATTAGTATGGCAATCTTCCAATGAACTATATTCCATGTTTAACCATAGCTTAAGCTTAATAAATCCAGACTTCTTTGTATGAATCAAACCCATCTTTTGCTTACACAAAAAACAAGGGTTCCATCTAGTTCAGGGGTGTCAAACTTTCATTGGGGCGGCATCAGGGTTGTGTTTGACCTCAGGGAGGATGGGTTGGTCAAGGGGCTTGGCCAGGATGGGTGTGGCCTGCTCAACATCACTTCTGTTGGGGCGCCTGCAGTTGCCCAAGCACTCTGCTAGTGAAAACAGGTTCTCGGTGGCCTCCTGCAACCCTCTTGTCAGTGAAAATGGAGCTTGGGAGGGCCATTTTCACTGGCCAGCCCTTCACTGTTTCCAGGGTGGCCCCGTGGGCCGGATTCATCCCGTGAACCTTGAGTTTGACACCCCTGATCTACTGTAGTTCCTCAATGTCAGCCAAAGGAGGAAAAAAAGATGAAATACATTTAGTCAAAATAAGCATTTCTGTGCTCAACAAAAACTGACAAGGATATGTAATCTAAAATACATGAAGGGCAGAAAGGGAGGATATTTTACTTGCCACTGAACATTTCTGCAATGCTTTGTGCAATCAGCATCTCTGAGATGGATAATTCAGATCTTATCCTTTCTCCTCAATTAACAGATCTTCATATTAGATGTGTCCTAAATAATATGCAAAATAAGGAAGTGTTTTGTCAAGTGAAAAACAGAACAAGCAAAATGATAGTGGCTTCTTAGCTACTGTGTGCTTCTAAACACTTTTATCACTTCATTGCAACCATCTGATATTTTTTTCTTCTAATCTTTCTGTTCCAAGAAACTCTAGTTCATCTCAACATTGAGTAGATGATGAAATAGTTTAACATAGAGAGAGACTGACACTTTTGAGAACCTATTCAGGTCAAAGCATTATGAAACAACTTTCACCCAAGAAATCTTGAACTCTGCCATTATATAAATATATAAAATATGACATTATATAAATATATAAAATATGAACTTTTTAAAGTGAGCTTTTTAGTTTTACAGGGTTTTTTTTTGATAGGTTGAAAATATTTCAGCCACTGAGTACACATACAAACGATACAAAGCCTTTATACATTTATATTTATTTTTATTTCTATAACACCTTTATACCAATCTTTACACCACCTTCAATAGTTCTGACTGACAATTATATGACTTCATTTTCCCCTCAGTATTTGAGATCTTTGATTACTAGATTAGAATAATGAAACAAAAAAATTTAAGAAGGCATAGCTTTGACTGTATTTGCAGCAAAAGCATATCCAACAAATTTATTTTTATTAGATTTTATTTTGCTTTTATTCCTTTACAAATAACATAAGGTAATAAACTTATCTAGTATTATTCCTTCCTCCTATTTTCTCCACAACAACTGTATGAGGTGGGCTGGTCTGATAGAGAATGACTGGCCCAAAGGCAGGACTAGAACTCATGGTCTCCTAGCTTCTAGCCTGATGCCTTAACCAATTGGTTAACTAGCTTTTTGGGTCAGAAGGTAAGGTTGTGTGGATAGTTGTTGTTAGTCGCCAAGTCATGTCCGACCCATCATGACCTCATGGACAATGTTCCTTCCGGACCTTCCTGTCCTCTAACATCCCCAGAGTCCATTTACGTTCACATTGACTGCTTCAGTGACTCCATCCAGCCACCTCATTCCCTATGGTCCCCTTTTGCCCTCAGTCGTTCCCAGCCCTAGGCTCTTCTCCAGTGAGTCCTTCCTTCTCATAAGATGGATACTATTCAACTCCTAACAACGTTTCCTTCTATATCCAAAGTTTCTTAGACCATTCTTTTCTATTCAACATCATTATATTTTATTAGGAAACGGCAAGCATGAAACATGGCCCCATGATGTGAATATTTTACCTCCTAATGATCAAGTCTGAAACAAATTTATGCAGTAATTTTAAAAAACATGCAGAACTTACATGCTTACTATTTAGTAAAACAGCAATTACACAATTGTCCCATAAGTGTTTTTAAAAAATCATTATGTAATTAATACTTTGAGAGTAATTTATCTGTATCTGGTGCTACATAAGGATCCTCAGCACTATAAGAGGCCAAAGAAGCAGGTTGGGTTTCAGGTTCTTTTGTATTTTGTTCTACATTTTCGCAATTCAGGAACTCTCTTGAGCAAACAGAGTTTTTCAAATATGAACTGAATTCAGTTTTCTCCTGAAAATATTCCTGATATTGCATTTCATCATTTGCAGAACTTTCAGAATCGCTTTTCATAGTTAGAAATGTTTGATTCTTGAAGTCATGGTTCAAAGATGATACTGGAAGAAGACATTCTAGAGCTCTGTATTCTCCAGTACAAAAAGTCTCTTGACCAGCAACCGTAATTTTTGCAGTAGCATTTGCTTGTTCGAAGAAGTTTTCGGGATTCAGAAATGGCAACTCATTCTCCCTGCAAGTATCCATTTTCAAAATATTGATGTCATCCTTAGAAGATGAGTTCCCCAATATGATTTTCTGTTGAAGACAGGAAAAAAAACATCAGCAAAGAGGATGTAGATAGGAGAACAAAAAGAAAAATAATTCTGCTGCTGTTACAGTTTACATGGATGTTGCAACAACAGAAAGAAGAGTAACTACTCAGATGGTTCCTTGTGTATCCTATGAGCCATTGCTTCTTCATTCCATCAGGCAAGCAAAGTTCTTTTTTTCCAGGCAACCTTCTTGCCTTCTTGCCATTACTTACATGATATGGTCAATTCCTTCATGTGTTCACAGCTTCAACATGCAATTTAGCTAATGTGGCCAGAACAGAAGATACTGATAGTTCACTCTTGGGTCTAAAGACAAATTGTATTTATAGAAGGAAGGCAAGGTAGAGAGAAAAAAGAATGGGAGGTGGCAGTATCACCAATGCAGTGGTTAGGGGCTATATCCTCAATGGATCCAATCTCATGGCTACGCATCTCAAAGGCTGACAAAGGCTTTTGGCTTACAGATTGTGATAGTTACAGCTAAAAATGAATTGGAGGCTCGCCATTTACAGGGATTTACGTTACACTTAGCTATTAACTGTACAGTTTACATGACACCTAGCTTCTTGCTTCACATAGTTCTATGCAAAATTGCACATTTTTTTCAATTATCTCCAATAGTAGTGAATCTGAAACGTCAGAGAGGAAGAAGTAATGTCCATGACTGCAACACTCAAGGAGATTCACATTGCATTAGGACTAGGTGAAATTCTGGGCCATCAGTCATTTTCTCACAGCCTGGTTGTCCAGTAAAAATCAGTCCTTACCTGAGATACAGCAGGATAACTTGCTATTACAGGATGTGGAATCTGAGGCCAGCAAATTCGTTTTATCCTGATAAAACAAAAGCAAACTGATTATTGCATTTGATGATATCTCACGAATGGAACCAAGAGGCTTGACCTTCAGCCCCTGCTTTATGGGTTTTTATATGGTTTGCCCTTTCTCCATTTCTATTTAATGTCTACATGAAGCCTCTGGGTACAGTCATCCATCACTATGAGGTGACATATCATTGGTATGCTAATGATACTCAGCTGTATCTCTATGTTGAATTAAGCGATGCCACAACTTCCCTCTTTAGGCTGGAGGTTGTTGAAGTCTGGATGAGGAACAATGAGCTGAAATTGAACCCTGGCAAAACAGAACGGTTTCTAGAGAATCGTCACCTTTGATCCTGGATGGAGTTGCACTGCCCCAGATGTTCCTGGTGCATAATTTGAGGATTCTCCTGGACTCACAACTCCTGCTTGCGAAGCAGGTGGCACTCTTGGCTAGGAGGCCTTTGCACAATTGTAGATTGTGCAACAATTATACCCTTTCCTGGACCAAAAGTCCTGCTCATATTCTTCCACACCCTAGTCACCTCTTTCTGTTGGAGACAGGAAAAGTGTAGATTCTAAGAATTTAAGCTTCCTTTACTAGTGAAAATGGAAATAACCATCGGCAAACAATGTATAGTAGGCAGGAGATGAGGAAAGAAAAACAAATAATTCTACTGTTCTTACTGTCCACATGAAACTGGCAACAACAAAAAGAAGAGTAACTACTCAGATGGTTGCTTGAATCTACATGGCGCTCTAAATGAAGATGAGTAATGTGTTTTACATGGGGCTGTCCTTGAAAAGTATCTGGAAGCTTCAGTTGGTTCAAAATGTGATGGCCTTCATGGCTTTATGCAAGTCTAAGTTTGCATGCATCACCCATCTTGTGGAAGCTGCATTGGTTGCTGATTTGCTTCCAGATCTAATTAAAGGTTTTGGTTATCATCTTTAAAGCCCTGTGGACTTGAGGTCAGGTTATTTGAAGGACTGTCTCTTCCCAGTTATATTCTCCCAGCACACCAATTGAGAAGTCAGGATCTGTCATGGGTCCCCCCATTAAGGAGGTCCAGTGCATGGATGTCAAATTTGCGGCCCATGGGCCAAATGCATCACGCACTAGACACGTCCAACCCCTTAATGAAGGAGGGAAAGTTGTGATATGTCTTGTGACGACAATGTGTCATCGCAAGTTTGATACCCCTGATCTAGTGGGACCAAGAAGTTCCTTTTCCATAACAGTTCTCTCCCTGTGGAACATTATCTCTCCAGAGAAAAGAGTGGCCCTAACCTTGTTTGTCTTTTGAAAGGCCATTTGTCTGCGAGCCTGGAGATCCCATTCTCATATGGAGCCCATCAAGTAGCTTATCCAAATGTTGTCATGGTGGGGGGAGCAGAGATGGGATTGTTTGGGGTTTTGAGATCTTATCTTTATAAGCCACTGTGAGTCACTGTGAGTGAGTTGAATCTTTTTAATAAAGAGCCCCTAATTTGGTCCTCCTAAACTGAAATATTTGGAGTGACTATTCTGAGGGAACTTTGGGTACTACCGTGTTTCTCATAAAATAAAGCCGGGGCTTTTTTTTTTTTTTTTTTTGAGCCCTGAAAAAATGGCTAGGATGTCTTTTTGAGGGTAACTTAATTCCCCCCCTCGCATCCTCGGGCAGGCGGGCAGCAGTGCTTGGATGTCGGCCTCGGCAGCAGTGGGGCATTTTGCATCACAAGACCTTTGGCGCCTGCTGCTGCTGCTTCCGCTTGGAGCATCATCTTCCGTTTGGAGCATCACCTGCCACATTTGGAGCTTCTGCCACCTCGTTTGAAGCTGCTGCTGCCGCATTTGGCGCTGCAAACGTGGCAGCGGCATCTCCAAATGCAGTGGTGATGCTCCAAACGGAAGACAATGCTCCAAGAGGAAGCAGCAGAGGTGGGCGCCTGAGGTCTTGCAATGCAAAATGCCCCACCGCTGCCGAGGCCAACATCCATACCATCAACACCCGCCCACTGACCCGGCCTGCAGGCAGCACCATACGTGGGTCTGCAGCAAAGGTACTTGGTGGGAGTAGGGAGTTCTCCACGCTCTGCCATGATCAGTCATAAGGAGTGGCTGGTGGAGAGGCATGGCTGCCCATGGGGCACTCCTAATGGCAAGCCCCCCCCACCCTTCCCCCCATTTCGCATGTTTTAAAATAAGCCTAAATTTGGGGGAGGGACTTAATTTCATTTTATGCCTAAAAAACATGCTGGGCCTTCCTATTGGGGGGGGTGCGTATGTTGGAGAAACACGGTAGTATTCCCTTGATATTATAATATAATATATACAATACAATATAATACAATAATACTCAATTGGTGTTTGGAGAAATTTATGAAGATTTTCCAATACATTCAAGGTACTGTGCCAATGAATATGGATTAGGAGACTTCATCTGGTACCTGCTTAAAGCTAGCTCCTAAGATTATTTTGTATATAACCTATGGAACCCAATATTTGGGCAAAGAAAGTTAGACATGGGAATGCTCTACTTGAGAAATAACCATCTGGAGAAAAATGAAAATTTTAGATTGTGTTAAGAAAGAATTTCATGTCAATAATGAAAGGGGGGAAAGCATAGAGGTTGGATTATGATTTGAAACAAGCCCTGTCACATAGCTTTAGCTGAACCTGGACGATTTTTGTTTTTTGACATTACATTTTCAATCATTTAAAAATATACTCACATTTTATATTTTAGAGCCCATAATAATCCAAAACTCAAGATGCAGATCATGAATATTCCAATGAAGACAGTTGCAAGAATAATGTCTGTTGTACCTAGAAGAGGGACACGCAAATTAAAATATCAAATTACAAATATTTTAGGTCAACAGTGATGGTCTGCTAAAATAAAGCCAGGTCATACACACACTTGAAAGTAAATCAGGAAGCCTGTAATTGTGGAGTCTGTTTGGCAACAACAAAGAATTCTTATCCACAGGAAATATGCATGTGTAAATCTTGTAACAATCTGGCTAATTAGAAAGCTGATAAAAGTAACACGAGTTAGGCAACTTGCAGACCTCAGCTAACAGTTAGGAAGAGAGATAGCCTGCAGCAAATCAAATGTGTATTAGATAATTCCTAGGGCATACATTAGCCAAGATTTGGGAATAGGGACAGCTAGAGACCAATAGAACAATTTGTAGAATTATTACTAAAATGTTTATTAGATGATATTTCTTATTATCTCGCTTTGTCCCAACTTCTCAAGTGAAAATGTATAAAACTTACTCAATCCTGGCTTACCCTCAATTCTTGGCTCTTGGCATTTTGACCAGGAGCCCTTTTCTTTGGAGTATTTCAATAAAAAGCAATCAGAAAACCTGCATCTTGTGTCTGGCATCCACCACAGGCTTCGGCACGAGGCTCAGACCCAAACTGGGGACAACAAGAGTTTTGAGTGACGTTTTATCAATGAAATCAGTGGGATTGATTCATGAGGTTGCATCCAAGAGAGAAATATACTGTATATTTGTGCAGGTAACTCAGCAAAGGAAATAGGTCAAGCTTCTCCTTACTTTGAACTGATTCAGCTGGTTATCATGACTAAAATATAACTATAATTACAGAATCTTTAGAGCTCATTAACCTCTAAAAGCAATGTGTTAAAAACACCACTGTTTAATGTTTCTAGCTTTTCCAATTGTAGAAAAGATTAGCATTGTCTCATTTTCACTCATTTAAAGTCATTGGATTCTTTTTAGTTAAAAACAACACAAACATGTCTTAAGTTATAATGATATATGAAGAGAAAAACTATTTTCCTTGAATAACTTACTCAGTAGTTTGGTAAAAAAGTTAATTTCATTTCCCTTTGTTCCTCCCATGATGGTGTTTGCCTTAATCCAAGCTCTGTAATGGGTATTGGGCTGCAAAGACTTAAGTTTGTACTTCAGGATACTGCTGTCCACAGTTTCTTCTATCAAGACACAAATGGAAGGTTAAGTGGTCATCTCACCCAGCATAGAAGGGCTGCCATCCCTTCATTCCCATCCTTCATTCATTCAAGTGCTTTTATGCTACTTCAGACTTCATGTGATTTATAATAAAAGGAGGGGAAACGCCCTTAGCAATTATGCCTAAAAACTCTTTCTGTAGGCCATTTCCTCTCCCTGCCTTTCATTTTGCTTTCTTTTTAACCACCACTCTCTGAAACAGGTCTGAACAGCTCTGGAGTATAAAGCTAATCAACAGGGAGGCATGTGAAGCATAGCTTCCAGCTTCCCAGCTATTGAAAAGAGCAACTCTTCGTATTTGTCCAGAGGACAGATTAGAAAAGCATATTGTCAGCACTTATGTGCTATAAGTAATATCCTATTGAGTTTGCACTGGAGTAGGATATTCACAACTGCTATCCCTTCAGCCGTTCTTTTATGATACCCAATTTGTGCGTGTGCATGCACACAAAAGCACACATACATTTTTAAAAATGATTTTATTTACATCCTGCCCTTGCGCTAAATGGAGTATGATCAATAGCACCCCTCAGGCTGGCTGATAATACTTATTCAGAGTCCCAAAGGTCCTTTTTCATGAGGCAACTGGAGTTTCTTGTTTTTTCTTTTGAAGACTTCTCATGCAAGAAGCTTCTTCAGCTTTGACAGGATAGTAAGGAATGGAAAGATATCCAGTCTCCACTATGCTATCAGAGTTGAAGAAGTTTCTTGGATGAGAAGCGAAACATCTTCAAAATGGAAAAAAAAGAAAGAAAGTCCCATTACCTCATGAAAAAGCACCTTTGGGACATGACCTCGATGACTGAGAATCTCTACAGACTTCTTCACAGCTATTTTATTTCCCAATAAATATTTGCAAAATAAGATAGTTTCACAAAATCATCGCTTAGACAGCTTCTTGTGTTGTTGGCCCACAGGGACTCTTGTGCTACAATATTTGGAATATGACATTTATTTTGCTTGCCCTTCTTGCCCCCTCCTCTAGGCATAACAAATGCTGTCCTTGCAATTATCTTCACTGGAATATTGATGCCATGCCTATAAATTGTTGCATCCCTGGGGAGACAGATTCAGCTATAGTTAGGGCTTCAAGATTTGGACTAAAAATCCAATTAGCCATTACATATAGAAAAGAGATTCAGAAAATTAAATTCAATTGCCTGTATCAGAGGTCCCCAAACTTGGCAACTTTAAGACTTGTGGATTTCAACTCCCAGAATTCTCCAACCAGCTTCTGGGAGTTGAAGTCCACAAATCTTAAAGTTGCCAAGTTTGGGGACTCCTAGCTTACACGATTTGCTAATTTGCTGAATGCAAAGGTGGAAATGCTATTGGTTTGCTAATATTGTGTGCTTCAACAACGTGACATTTGAGGCACTTTCACATAGTACTGAGGCACTCCAGCATTATTTTTGTATTTCTGCATCATTATCTGAATTTGAGACCTGAGCTTATCTTTTTTCTGACTTAACTATGATATATCTAATCCTCATCTGAATCAGAAGTTCTGAAGATCTTGCAAGTGGTCCATTTTCAGCTTCAGCTGATCTAGCATTCTACTCAGAGGTGCTTAACATGGAAAGTGGCTTGAACCTTCTTCGTTTAAAACAACCTCTCTGATTTTTATACAGTACGTGACAAAAACCATTTCACCTTGCTGATTCTGCTTTGAAATACAACTAAAATTGCCTTCAGAAGCTATGGGTGCTCCATCACAGAAGACTTTCAAAAAGAGACTAGATAACCATTTATCTGAAATGATATAGCGTTGGGGTTAGACTAGAATACCTCCAAGCAGTGGTGCTATTCTACCAGTTCGGCCCGGTTCTGGCGTACCGGTAGCGCCAAAGAGCAGCGGAGACCAAACCGGTTCCCTAAGACACTCTGCTGTTGGGCCCACCGTCCCACCTGGCTCCCACTCTGACCTTTATGTCCTGCTTTTGAAGCGCAGCTGCTTTGCACAGTATAGCAGATTGCTGCATGTCAGCTGCTGAAACAACAGGGAGAGCGCAGGAGTACAGGAGGTGAGTTGGAAAGCCTCTGCAGCTGCGCAAAGTGTGCTTTTGGTGCATGCACGTGTGCACAGTGTGTGCATGTGCACAAAGCGCGCCTCCCCAAACCACGCCCACTGAACCTGTGGTAAACTTTTTTGAAACACACCACTGTCTCTTCCAATTCTATTATTCTATGCCTGTGCTATCTGTAGATCTGCAAGATGATCTATTTTTGTATCCTTGCAATTTTTAGGTAGCAAATAGAGGAGAATTTTCAGCTACAGTAAAGTTGCTGGGATAAAATTTCCTTCTCCTTCAAAACTACTTTGCTTTTACAGTTAACTGTCTCATGGATGGGATTGCTAATTATGTTTGTTTTGTGTGGTAGCAAATTGAGTGGATTGTTGCATCTCATCATCACCATACATACATCTGAAAGGTCCTTTTTCTGATGCATTTTTCCTGATACATTCTACAGAATCAAAAACTACTTAAAATAACTATCATCCTAGGTGTCACATACAAATTTGACTTCTTTAGAATCAGTAATCAGCCTTTTTTTTCTCCCCATTCTTTAAAATTAGCCTAATATCCACTGTAGCTAAGAATGAGAAAGATTCAAGCTTGTGATAGAATGTCTTTTGTAGAAATTGTTCAGAACAGAGGTCTCCAAACTTGGCAACTTTAAGACTTGTGGACTTCCACTCCCAGAATTCTCCAGCCAGCTATGCTTTGAGTTGAAATCCACAAGTCTTAAAGTTGTCAAGTTGCAATAATATGAAACCGTACTGCATCTATTATAAACACCGTGAGCCATTGAAAACCTTTGATTTTAAACAGACAAAGATATCCTTGTCTAACCTTGTTGACTCAACTAATGACAGCTTCCTCCTATAATTATTTTTTTACTGGGCACCCCTTGGGAAAAGCAGCCAAACCATAAGGTAAAATAATGCCAAAACTATAAAGCACATCATTGTTTAATGACATTATTATAAAGCCAGGGGTCTATGGAAATTCTGTCATCCAGGTTATGGTTGTCCCAAAAAACAAAAGTCCATTTGCCTTTTGAAAAAGCACCTTGCAGATATAAAGCCAGATATTTTTCAGTAGAGGTTGTCAGTTTCACATTTAGAGTAAACTAGGACCATCCTTAAATAAGCCCAAAGACTTTCCTACAAGCTTTTTTTTTTTGGGGGGGGGGGGGATTAGAAACCAAAGATAATAGGAAATATATTAAAGAAGCAAAGAACATGAGACCAAAAAGAATTGGAAAAAGCTGTCTCAAATTATTCCAGGCTGTGGTGTATCCTAGTGGGGTTCATGTACAGCCCTTTCTGCATTATGTTCAGCAGAGATAAGAAAGCAGAATATATCTTTAGAACGGCCTTAGGGTTACAAAGGCTTAAGCTGAACAAAGACATCTAGATGAGACAGAGAGACAGAGGCAGAGACAGATATATTAAGATAAATGATTTTAAAATAGTTAGTACCAAGTTTAAATAAAGGCTAGCTCGAAGTAAAGAAGCATACATCTGAAGTTAAAGCATTGGAATAGCTGTTCTTTTTTCAGTTTGTATACATACCCAAACTTTTGTTGCCTTCTTTATAAATTATAGTATAGTTAATAATCACACCATTTCTTTCTGCTTTTGGAATTTCTTTCCACGTTATGATGGCATAATCTTTACCAGCATTTTCTGTTTCAGCCTGAGGACCTGTAGATGGGACTAAATCATACAGAATAACTTTAGCAGTTTCAAAATATCTTAGCAGTTGATTAGAAATAGTTCTTCCAACATAAATGGAGTTTTGATACTTTAGAACTGGCATGTACCACATATATACAGAACAAATTAGGCCACTGGCCCAGGAAGATAATACTAATATTTATAAAAAGAGAGACTAAATTGAAAAATTTAGGGAAATTCCTGCTTTAAAGGTGGCTGATACTGAAATGTGACAGGTAAGTCTCATATATGATGTAGGTAATAATTTTATTTGGATGTATTGTCTACCAAAATTTTGATTTTCAAATTATCTATTCTATTCTATTCTATTCTATTCTATCTTCCACTTTTTTCAGAGATAAGCAAGTTCAGACCTCCTTTGTATTTGTTAATCCTTTCTTATAAATTAGAAAAAGACATTTCTGCTGAACAACATATTCGTGCGAGCTTCTTAGCTAAAGTTGTTATGAGTTCACCCCATATCAACACAGGACCACCATTTATACGTACCACTTTCATGGAAATAGATACTGATGGAAGTTGGCTTTTTTATTTCTTCTTTATATAAAGGATATACTGAAAAATTATAGCATTTAAAGTGTTTAAAGATTCCTGGAAGAAAACAGAAGTAATAGAACATTACCCATCTTTCAAGATTGCTAGCAAGAATCCTATTAATTGCTACTTTCACACTGCACTGTCAAGAAAGGCAGAAAAGTAAAACATGATAGTGAGAGCTTCAAATTCTTGGTAACAATTTTACCCTTAATAAATATTTACACATTCAGGGGACACCCATGGGGGAAAATCAAAATGTGTAATTAAAGCCATAGCTTTTTTTTACACATGCTATAAAATGCACCACAGCATATAAAAAGTGGAGAAGCTTCAATTATGCAGTTGGAACAACTATCTTAGGATATTTTTGACCTCACCTGCTCACCCCCCATGCATTTTGCCTCTGTATTACATCTGCCACACAGATAAGTTAACGTACCAATCTAGCATAAATACTTTACAAATACTCATTTCCCTGTTGAACATGGGAACTAGAATATGCAGCATGAATCAAACTGAACAAGCAGTTTCCAAAAAAAAAAATAATCTAAACTAGATTGCTATGTTTAGGGCTAACTTTATATCTAATTTTATTCATATGAGTATGCATATATATCATGCATATTTTCCAAAACCTGCTGTTCCCACAGCACCAAGCAGCATATAAGCAGAAATCTTGTCAATGATAGATGGAAGGCTAAAATCCTTAAGTACAAAAGTAGCTGCAATTAAGCCAAAAGCACTTAAAATTGAGAGAAACCCATGGTCAAAAGCTTCTATTATTATTTTCTGAAGAATCAACAAGAGCATGGGAAGATGTTTTTCTTTTCCCTGGAACTAGGTAAGACCAATGTCTGCTGTGGAAAGTGAATCCCAAGCCAAAGAGATTATCAACAGACTCAGAGAGTTCTGCATCTTGGCAGTGGAACATAATTACATGAAGCAAACAGCCATTTCTTTATACAAAAAGTGTTGTGTGCCTACTGAATTGCATAATGCAATTTAAGCAACAGTGGAGGACAATCTGCTCAATTTTCAGCATACTTCAGAATAACAGAGTTGGAAAGGACCTTGGAGGTCTTCTAATCCAAGCCCCTCCTCAAGCACTCCAAACAAATGGCTGTCCAATCTCTTCCTAAAAGCCTCCGGTGATGAAGCACCCACAATCCCTAAAAGCAAGCCGTTCCACTGGTTAATTGTTCTCACTCTTAGGAAATTTCTCCTTAGTTCTAGATTGCTACTCTCCTTGATTAGTTTCCATCATTGTTTCTTGTCTTGCATTCTGGTGCTTTGGAAAATAGGTTGACCCCCTTTTCTTTGTAGGAGCCTCTCAAATATTGTCACCCCTAGTTCTTCTTTTTATTAGACTTGATGTACCCAAGTCCTGCAACTATTCTTCATATGTTTTAGCCTCCAGCCCTCTAATTAGCTGTGCTGCTGTTTGTTGTTCTTTTCTGAACATTTACTGTAACGGAATGTGAAAATGACCTTGGGAGATGGAGCAATGAGATGCTGTCTAGAGAATTGTCAAATAAGAGGGAGCATAGCCCACTGCTGCAGAATGGACATAGCAAAAAGCTCAGGAGCGATTCTCCCTAAGTTCTCAGGCTGTAAAGGTGACAGTGTAGTTTCAGGTTTGCAAAATTTGTTAATGTAGCTTTACAATAAGGCAGAATTAGCTTTTCTGTCCACTGGTCAAGAGAAAGGTGTGGTTGCAATTGACAAGTTTATTATGAAATTTAAGGAACAAAAGGCAAGGTATAAGACAGAGGAAGGACATGGCAAAAGTAAGAAGGGTTTGCAAATATAGAGATGCATAGTGGATGATCTTAGTAGAAATTAGACTTAACTGTATTTATTTTCATTTTTCTTATCTCATGCCTACTTCTTAATTTCTTACTCCTTTTCTGTACTTGGCCTGAAGTTGCTTGCTCTTAAAAAAAAGAAGTAGCACAGTGGATATATGTGGGCATTGCTAATTCCCAAATAAATCTCTCAATGTCTTTAATAACAGAAAATGAGAAGGTAAGAGGACATAATTGAAAAAACATACCATAAATAAAATAAAAAGACGATATTTAGAAGTGCTACTACCCATAGTATGTGCAATTAGCCTTAAAAATCATACCTTTTTGGGAAATCCATTCTGTGGTATTTGTTATCTTATCCCAAGATCGCTTGTTTGGGTCTTTCTCTAACTCATCATGCCATTCTATAATATAATCGTTTATTTCTGAATTCGTTGAATCCCATGTCAAACGCACTTTCTCTTCTAAAGCAGAAGCCTTCAGATGAGTAATTTGTTTTTGGTCTACAAGAATAAATGCCCATGTTAACTAGGTAGGGTAAATTCCAGCAATTTAAGCAATAAATGTAACTGCCAGTGCATGGCAGTGGTGATTTATACAGCAAACAGAAACAAAAAATATATAGCATAGTCAGAGGTGGGATTCAACCAGTGTTACTGCCGGTTCAGTGATTATGTTTTGCTGCGCGCATGTGTAATATACTTTAAGCTGTACTGCCTGGACAGCTGATAAGCACTGTGCACAGGTGCGCAGCATTTGAAAAAGCACTTTTTTACTGCTTTTTCAACCTCAGTTGTGTTGCGCAAAGCAGCTGAGGTTGAAAAAGCAGGAAATAAAGGTCAGGTAAGAGCCCAGAAGGGCAGGTGGGACAAACAGCAGCAGACACAGAACCGGTTCTATGTCTGCTGCTCTTCAGAGCTACCGGTTCTATAGAGTCGGGCAGAACTGATAGCATCCCACCCTGAGCATGTTAGTATATATTTTAAAATGCTGAGAAAGGATTTCACTGTTTCATTACAGAAAATGTGTCAACTTAAATTGGAATACAGACTTAGGAACACAATTGACCCCAAAATTGCTGTTGCTAAGTTTAACATTTGCTAGGTGAATTTTGCCCCATTTTACAACCTTTCTTGCCATAGTTGTTAAGTGAATCACTGCAGTTGATAAGTTAGTAACATAGTTGTCAAGTGAATCTGGCTTCCCCATTGATGTTACTTGTCAAAAGGTCACAAAAAGTGACACCCCCCCAGGACAGTGCAACCGTCATAAATACGAGTTACTTTCCAAGTGTCTGAATTTTGATCACATGACCATGGGGATGTTGCAACGGTTGTGTGAAAAATGGTCATGAGTCACTTTTTTCAATGCTGTTGTAACTTTGATTGGCCATTAAATGAATTGTTGTAAGTTGATGACTACCTGTACCTATTATCACTACAGGATGCAAAAATAAACAAAGTGAAATGTTCCAATTAAAGAGTGTTCCAATTGTGTTCCAATTATGGAACAACAGTGAGGTGATTATGGCACCTCACTGAGGTAAGATAAAGGTAAAGGTTCCCCTCGCACATAAATGCTAGTCGCTTCTGGCTCTAGGAAACGACTAGCATGTGTCGATCGAAAGGTCAGCAGTTCAGCGGTCTGAATCCCTAGTTCCACATAATGGGATGAGCTCCCGTTACTTGTCCAAGCTCTTGCCAACCTAGCAGTTCGAAAGCACGTAAAAAATGAAAGTAGAAAAATAGGGACCACCTTTGATGGGAAAATAACAGTGTTCGGTGCGCCTTTGGCATTTAGTCATGGCAGCCACATGACCACAGAGACATCTTCGGACAGCGCTGGCTCTTCGGCCTTGAAACAGAAATGAGCACTGCCTCCTAGAGTCGGGAACAACTAGTGAAGTGAACCTTTACCTTCATCTCACTGAGACCTTTCTCTAAAAGCTCAAGACTGCACTAGACTGTATATAACGGGAAGGAAACATTTTTACAGGCATACAAAATGTATGCCAAGTCCTGGTGGTGAAAACAACTCCAAAGTTAAGAATGGGAAATGCAAAAAAACAAAACAAAACAATTCAGCTGCTCTTCCAGATGAGGACATTAAGCTATTGCATATCTCTTTGGCACAGGTTTTTTAAGACATACGTTTATTTTAGCCATTTTATTGCTGTAGTACTTAAGGCAAATTGTTTGGTCATTCAATTGCTCCCGAGTAAGCAGGAAAAGGGAAAATTTGCGAGTGACTTTTTTTCCTAGAGGTTTTATGGATCCTTAACACTAAGGCACACAAAACAATTACAGATATTCCTTGAATATTGTTCAGAGAATTAGATTTGTTCCAACTTCCTCCCAAATGAAACATGATATCGTTTGCAAATTTTTGCAAGGAGAGCCAAGTTCTTTCTAACCACATAGGAAAAAACAACTACAAAGATAGCAAGAAGGACACCAATTATCTTGCCATCCTGAGGAAGAGGCATAAGACAATTATCAGAAGAACTTCAGCTCCTGATAAGAAACCACCTTGTATGGTGTAGTCACAGTGATAGACAAAATAGCTAGTGTGCCTCACTGAACGAGAACGCACTCTCTGTTATACTAATGGTGAAGCATCAACTGAAGGGTATACCTGATTTTCAAAACTAAATGGGGTACTGATAAAGGAGAATATTTGTAGCTCAGGGTTGAAATTAGGGGTCCTTACTGGTCTCTGACATTGGCTATTTTCAGATAATAATGTTATTTAGTTTGGGTAATGAAACCAACCAAGCTCAGAGATCACCAAGATGGAGTATCTTTACTCTTCATTTAGCCAAAAGATATACTAAAGTTTATACAACAATGAAGATAGCCTCGTGCGACCAGCGGACTTTTCGTTCTACACATGGAATGTAACAATGAACAAGTGCCGGCGAGGAGGGGGCAGGGGTGGGATTCTACCAGTTTGCACCTATTTGCTAGAACTGGCTGTTAACATTCTAAGCAGTTCAGAGAACTGGTTGTTAGAAGAAATTACTGGCCTAATCTTGTAAGGAAGGCAGGAAGGAAACATTCTGGTGTTGCTTACAGAAACTGCCTGTTCGTTAACTCTTATTACATTCTTGGCAAGACTAGACTTCCTGTCTCAGGAACGTCTCTGGAATTTTTTTATCTCCTTTGCTGATACTTTACTTGTGTGGAGTGACCATTTAAAGTTACAATGGCACTGAAAAAAGTTACTTATGACCCTTTTTCACACTTACGACTGTTGCAGCATCCCCACAGTCATGAGAGGCCAGGCGAGGAGATGCGTGCCTCAATGTGAGTGATATTGAGTTGGCCACGCCCAGCCAATAACATGACCACCTAAGCCACATCCAGTCACATGACCACCAAACAATGCCCACCACCTAAGCCACGCCCACAGAATCGGTTGTTAAAAAATTTGAATCCCACCCCTGGGAGCGGGGATGCAGATGGGTCATATAAATATTCTTAGTTGCTAAAAAGGGTAAAGTATCCTTCCTTGTCAGCTGGTTAAAAAAAGGAAAATATTTCTAAAACAAATCCAGACTTCCATGAGATGAAGTCAACATCTGAATAGATATCAAACCAGCAGCGACGAGATCAAATAAGTGAATTAACAGTTTCAACAATAACCATCCACTGTCACATAAAAAGAGTTACATCGGAAACTGTAAGGCAGGTGAGAATCTATTGCAGTACCCAGCAAACAAAAGTACTGGGGAGCAAGTACCTATATGAATAATTCAGGCAGAATGGTTACCACAACATGGATGGGAGAGAAAGGAAGAAAGAAGATAGAAGACCAACTTTAAGGCAGATCCTGCCATACATCAAAAACATTTCGGAAACAGGAGAATGCACTTCCATGTTCTGCAAGTGGGGATCGCCTACTGCCCAGAGGCTACCATACAAGGACAAATGACGCATTACAAAGATCATTTGAAGGCGGGAGAAACTTTTAATGTAATTTGCCAGATTCCCTGCATGGATTGCCCTGTGACTACGTTGGACAGACAGGAAAGAAGCTAACCACCAGATTGCAACAACAAAATGAGCAGTTAGATGAAGAGATCCGAATTCATTGGTAGCCTCACATTGCAATGAACTAGGACATGCTTTCAATTTTGCAACTACTAAGATTGTTGACCAAGCATGGGCAAAAATAGCCAACAGAAATGACTGACTGAACCCTGGGATATTGGCTCCTGTCAGTTAACAGGAGGGCTTATTTACCACTAGTTTACCAGCTGCTTAGGAGCCGAGGGCATGGCAACACAAGGAAAAAATAACCAGTGACTTAATAGCCAGCCATCAAAGTCCCAATTAACAACTAAAAGGCACACACAACCAGGCACCACATAAATACTATGCATAGAATACCCCAGTGCACGCATTCAGGAGACAAAGAAGTTCCCTAAGGATGGTCTCCTTGCATGAGCTTGGAAGAATAAACCTCTGGATCTGGTGACCGATTCCGATTAGATCCTGCAACATTATCCTTGGACACATATATTTGCCTTCATTCATAAATCAATTAAGTATCCTATAGCACTTCAGGTAGGAACAAAAATTTGGAGGTAGGATTTCAAGATTTGGGTGGAAAATACTATGTCATTTGGGGTATGAATAATTAGTTACAACAATACTGCTATACTGACAAAAAGAATAGTTTGGGTTCCAAAGAAAATAGGACAAGATAGGACAAGACTGGCAAAAGAAAAAAGAAAAAACAAATTCTCATCCAGAAGAAGGATTTACACTGACAAAATATTTACAGATTTTAGAGTGTCCTTTCTCAAGAAAACTACAGTAATCCCCGCCACAGAGATTGTTTATACAATCACTTCATACTGAAAGTGCAGATCAAATTAAAATTGTTATACTGTATTTCACGACTTGGAAACAATACTTCTGCTCTCACCCTCCCGACTTATTTATGTACCTTACTTTTTTCTAGTGCAGTGTTACTCATGTCTACTGAAACATTTAGGTGCAATTCAAAGCAACTTTTCATATACTAAATGTTATCCTATAGCTAATTATGTGACCAAAGAAATCAAATCCTGTATTGTATTTTTTTAACTACTTAATTCTTTTTACAAAGGCTCTGCATAAGTCTCTTACATCTATAATTTCCCTGAGATAACTATGGGAGTGGCATGAAAGGCCTGGTAAATAAATAAATACATATATTTTAGTATTTTATGTTTGACTTTTTGATTCCCGGAGACTGCCTTAACAGTTTTCTTGGCAAGCTTTTTCAGAAGTGGATTGTCATTCTCACATAAGAATCTATATAGTTAGCAAGCATTTCCTTTTCCTCTCCCTCTCCTTCTCTCTCTCCGTCCCTCCCTCTCTCCCCCCTTCCCTCCATCCCTCTCCCAGATGCACAAAGCACAAGTGGCACATAAGTAGTAATATGGTATACAGCCTTAAAAAGCCCTTTCTTAGTCTGTGTATAAGTGTATGTGTGTGTTGTGTACATTTGCATAAACATACCTATTGTTTCTTCATGTTTTGATGGAATTCTAATAGTAACTTCAGGAGAATATCCAGCACTGTTATAAGCAGTAAAACGGATATTGTAGGCATCCTTTGTCAGGCTGAGAATGATAGGCTCATTATGATTGTATTTTTTTTCAAAAGTAGTGTTGATGTGTTCTGCATTGTATTTGACTTTACAGCCAGTTATTATTCCTGAAGATGGGAATTCTTTATATTCCTGGTCAGTACATAGTAGCAATTAAGAAGAATAAATGATTAAACATTATAGGATTGGACTCCTCAAAATATAATGCATGAATAATACACACAATAGTAAAAGAGACACTTGAAAAGTATTCACCTGTTAGGTGCAGAGTTATAGTTATTCATAGTACCAGGTAATTTTGTACTGTACAAATGTGCAAATGTGTAAAACATATTTAAACATTAAAAAACAGAATCGTTAAAAGTTAAATAGAATAAATTAAAAGGAAAACATATTTTTCCCTCCAGTGCCTTTAGCAAATCAATTTCGATCCCATGAAAGCTTTGTTAATTAAAGAGAACAATTTGTTTCCAATTGGAAACTGTTTCTGGGTTTTATGCTCAAAACAGAAAAAAAAAATTAAAGTTTGATTTTAGGTTTTGATTAATTTGCTGCTATAGAAGTGGTATCTACTAGAAATGTAAAAAAAAAAAAGTTGAAGTTGAAAGATTTGTTATAGTCTACTGCACTGAAAAAAAATCAGGTCAGTGCTTTTTTCCCTTCTTTATCCTTATATATTTCTCCTTTCCTTTTATTTTCTGATTTTTGTTTCTGATTTTTATTAATAAACCTTAATAAAAATCTTCCAAAAAAAGCTTCCTTTGGAAAAATTATGCAAAGGACCAGAATCTTAGAAATCAACTTCTTCATCAACTTGAACAGGTTTTTCAGTGATAAAATATTTTACTACTTTATTTTTGACTTTTTGATTCCCGGAGACTGCCAGAACAGTTTTCTTGGCAAGCTTTTTCATTTGTATCTACATCACCTCATACAACCACATCTTCACCAGCTTTCAAGACTAAAAGCCATCCTGTATATTCTCATCAGCAATTGCAAAAAAATACCCTATATAATCTCTAAAACATTAATCAGTATAGGATCTTTTTAAACTATTTTTATCTGGACAAAAGTTTATATTAAACTTTTTAGCCTAAAGCATGATGCTGTGAATATCACCATTTCATTTTAAGAAACCTCAATAACCAGGATTTCTCAGCTTTTTATAAACCTTGAACACCAACTGTATGTCTTTTATCTTTCTTTTTCTCATCAAGAAAGCTACACACTTTTGTGGGAAATGAATGCCCTCTTAGATAATCCTTCTCAATTCTTCCCTTCTTTATTCTTAAAATAAACCAGTAAGTTGTTGAAAGGAATTTAGAATAAGAAACTTAAATTCATTCCTTTTCCAAAGTCAATGGATATGAATTATGCTTTCATTGGGAAAGTTAATCCAAGCAAGGAGACAAACTGGACTTTGACTTTAAAGCTTCTGCATATATAGTTTTAAGAGTCTACTGAGAAATAAACCATATATTAATTAAAAATAGGAATCTTTAAATGTCTTGATATTTGTTTACCTTCCACAAAAGATGCACACTCCTGTTTCCATTAGGATAAGTTTCAATTACTCTCCATAAGTCTATTTTCAAAGGAGCTGTTAAAAACAAATGAAACAGAATGGTAAAATAGGTAAATAAGTGATTCTTTCAGATCCCTTGGATAGGTATAGCTTCCTTTTTTGTTTGTTAAGTAATGTTTAGTCTTCTCTAATAGCAAACAGATCTTGCACTTAACAAGAACACAGTGACACTCCATTTTTGGTTATCCTTCCCAAGAAGGCAATTTCAGCTGTATTCTAGTAACTGAATATGTCAGACCATCATGACTGAATAACTGGAAGTACTTAATCCAAATAAAAGAAATCTTTAAAGATCAATGTTAGCCCTTCAAGGTGATGACAAGATGACACCAGAAGAAATACTAGAACTCTTGAAAACTAATGGTGTTTCTCCATTACTCCCTTTCATACCAGAAAGAATCGAGGCAAAGCTACTTTAAGCTCTATTTCTTGTGCTTTTTTGTTTTCCCTTCCTGGGCCATATTCTTTTAATGGCCTTTGCATATTTTCTCCAAGGTCACTTCTGTGCACTCTGCTATTTAAGAAAGAATTGCATCTCACCTGCCAAACAAATTGCTCTAAAGGAAGTCAGTTGGGAAGAAGTGTTCTTGGGAGAATCAGATGACCATAGACTCCAGTACATTACCCCACAATTCCATTTTTGGCTAACTAAGTTGAATTTTCTGTATATAAACAATATATATGTGCCAATATTTATGCAGGTTTTTAAATAGTTTATAGTTTATCTATTTATTGAAAAACATTTATATAGCTATCAATCTTCTAATCAATTCTGGGTATGCCCAAGGAAAAGTGAAAACAATATATCTAACCATATTGAAACTATGAAACTAATGTTAAAATATTAAAAGCAATCAAAATCCTGGCTTCAAGTCAAACATTTAATGTGTAATTATCCAATTTTATCCCAGCATTTGAGGAAAAAGCCAGGTCTTCACAGCTTTACAGAAGGCTAGGAGCCTGCCAAACACCCAGAGAAAGAATATTCCAAAGGGCAAGGGCAGCCATGGGAAAGGCGTACTTCCCAGCTCCCAATAAATAAATAAATATTTAGAGGAAGGGACAATAAATATTTAGAGGAAGGGACTAGGACAGGGGTGTCAAACTGGATTTCTTGGAGGGCTGGATCAGCATTGTAGTTCTCTTAGGCAGGCCAGCCTGGGTGGGGGGAGATGGGACAGATGCCTCCCGCAGCACCCAGCCACCCAAATGGGGCATGGGGGGGCGCGTGAGGCCTTCTGCATTCCATTTTCAGGCTGGATGTCCTCCTGCAGCACCCTGCTTCCAAAACAGGGCACCGGGGGAGGGGCATGTGAGACAGAGGCACCATTGGCCGGTTCTTTGCTATTTCCAGGCTGGCCCCATGGGCCAGATTTAAGCACCGCGTGGGCCGGATCCGCATTTGAGTTTGACACCCCTGGACTAGGAGCATGCCCACACTATCTGACTTTATAGCACAGGTAGACCTGCTTGTACAACATATAGAGTTGTAAAGGTGATGACCAACACCTTGACTTCCACCTGGAAAGGAACTGGAAGCCAATGCAGTTCACACAACCGAGGTTTTTATATGGGCAATCTTAGGGGACTGCATTACTGTGCGTGCTGCTCCACTCTAGAATAGTCAAAGTTTCTGGGTGATCTTTGTGGGCAGCCCTATGCAGAGTGCATTACAGTAATCCAAATAGGAGGTTACCAAGGCATGACTGATAGTTCTTTAACCTTTATTAACTATGACTAGAGATGTTTAAATCTGCAAATAAAATCGTTATGCCAAACTTAGTTTTACCTTGTTCTTCCGTTCTGTTTGTTACTCTGTTGCTCCATTCACTCCATTTACCAAACCCATCACCTTTACACCGAACAGCAACTGTATAATTTGTAAAATTCCACAGGCCCGTGAGATTTAAAGATTTAGTTGTTTCAATTATTTTAATCTGGATATTGATGCATTTCTAAAAATAAATAGAATTATTGTTTCAATTATTATGGTAATAGCTTACAACGAACAACTATTGTACAATTTGTAAAATTCCATAGGTCAGTGAGAGTTAAAGTTTGATTTCTTTCATCTTCTTTCAACTGGACATGGATATATCCTAAAAATAAACAAAACTGTTGTTTTGATAAGCACGGTAAAAAGAATAAATACAAAATTGTAAATAAGGGTTGTCATACATCCTGATTTCCCTTGACAGAGCTTTTTTTTCCAGCTGATGAAAGCTCAGTCCAGCTAGGAATGGAAAATATTATCTTTATTTATAGAAGAAAAGCTTTTACTTCACTAATTGAGCGTGAGCTGTGGTGGAGGAGGGGTTTTTTTTCTTATCCTGAATGATAAGAATTGAAGTTCTTCCTTGCCATTTGTCACATTGTATAAATATTACTGACAGATTTGCCTATGGACAGATTTCTGCTGAAGGCATAAACACTTTTGAGCTGCACAATCATCAACATCAAGGCTTTGGTGGCTTCTGATGACTATTCAAATTAATTATTCCACATTAATTTATTTTCAAACTCTACTCCAAATTTATTTATTCCCCAAATTATTTTTTCCTCTTTCCAATTACTCCAATTACTTTCCTTTATTCTATAACATTTAGCACAAATATTTCATGCTTATTTTCTGCTTTTATCCACCTTTTAATCATCCTGTCCATATCAATAATTTAATTGTAAAATTACTTGTATTCATTTTCTATGATTCCTGCATTTTACTAGACTAACCTTCTTCCAACAATCATTCCCCCAATCATCAATGAAAAAGAGGAATGACATATTTTTAATAAAAGAGCAAAGTTTCATTGTTTAGATGTTTAAAGAGAAAACAAGATCAGCTTTCTATAATTTTATCTTCACCATTGTGGAAGAGTTGGTTGTAAAGGTAAAAACCATGGAAAGAAATGACTACAATATTTGGGGATTCAGCAGGCAACAGAGAAATTGGAGCCCATTCAAACATCTATTATAGATTTCACTAGAGTTGATATGGCATACAGTTTGTAAATAAATAAAATCAAGCAAGTAATAACTTTCAGGAGAGCCTATTTCAATAATAAAAGATAAGAGAATCAGCAAGATAGATGGACTCAATTACAGCAACAATGGGTGCACTATTGGAGGAGCAGAAAGAGCAGGCTGGGGTCAGATCATCCAAGAAAAAAAATCAATGTATGTGGTTGTTAAGAGCAAATACCAGCTTAATGGCACAATATCAAAGCGCTAGGCAGGATCCCATAGACAAAATCTTCAGGTCATAAAACACAGGAGGATTGAAAATTGTATATTGGATGTACAATAGTATATCAATGAGGGGGGAAATGACTGTAAGTTAGGAAATACCAATAAAACAGAACATTTATAGCTCAGGTTTGAAATGAAGGGTGCTGTTCTGACTCAGCCTTCGCAGAAGTAAAAAACAGACTTCTCACAAAGAAAACCCTCTCTTTATTTACACATTGAGTTTGACACCCCTGGTTTAGAAAATACATTGATCAAATCTGCAGAGATACAATGGTAAGGTGAATAACAACAAGCTCAGAGCATGAATGGAGGTCAGAACTAGTATCAAGATTTTGGATCATCTTTACTAGCCAGAATATGGGGGGAAAGACAGCAAGATAAATTTCAGCAGGGATGAGCCTTACATTTGGATTGGAAAATTAAAGGCTTTAATGTAGGAATGGAAAGGAATGTATTGGGAAGTAATATTCAGAAAGGAGTTCTGGGTTCTTGGAAGATTACAAGCTGAACATGGGACAATGTCACAATTCATTTGTTTAAAAAAAACCATAAATGCAATCTTAGGCTACATAAACATGTGAAATTCCTATTTGTCTCTCTATTCTGGACTGATCAGACCACACTTAGAATACTGGGTCTGGTTTTAGGCACCAAGTTTTAAGTTAGACACGAACAAAGTGTAACATGCCAGGGGAGAGTAACCATGATGAGAATCGGTTGGAGGCAATGGGTATAGTTCCTTAGGGAAGAGGAAACTACAAGCAGACAAGAAAGCTATTTTCAAGTGTCTCAAGCAATATCATGTAGGTGACATAGCAGAATTATTCCAAGAAACAGGATAATTAAAAAAAAACAGATTTAAATGTATGTATATGTCAGCTAAATATTGGAAGTATAAAGAATAGAATAGAATAACAGAGTTGGAAGGGACCTTGGAGTCCGACCCTGTGCTTAGGCATTAAACCCTACACTACTTGTCACAAATAGTTATCCAACATCCTTTTAAAAACTTCCAGTGTTGGAGGCAAGTTGTTCCACTGATTAATTGTTCTAACTGTTAAGTTCGGAAAGAAGGGAGGCCACACCAGAGCTTCAGTCATAACGCACTTTATTCGTGGGAATAAAGGGGGCTGTCGCGTCTGCAGCTAACAGCAGACCTACCAGCGAACAGCAGCTGGCTCAACCTAGCAGCCGGCTTTTATAGCCGACTGTCGAAGGGAGCCAGCTGATGGGGACTAAGAACGCCCCCGCAAGAATTGCGGACCTGATGGGGAACTGGTGTCAGCCCCAAGGACATAACACCCCTTCCCCCCAGATACGAACATGAGTAGTCTTTAAGGTATGAAGGCGGTTTGTGTTGCCGCTCTGATCGTCTTAGTTCGGGTGTAGGAGCGGGTGGCACAGAGTTCGGGACAGCGGGGATTTGGTCCCTTGGTAGCTGTCCAGCCACCCGACCTTGCTCGCCGGTCGCCGGCCGGGTTGTCGAGTCGCTGCGGTCTCCCGGTGCGGTAGGGGAGCTGCTGGGGATGGATGTTGATTCTGTAGGATGGTCACGGTCAGCCATCTGCTCCCTCGGTTCGGTTGGTGGAGGCAGGTTACTCTGAGTGTCCCAGCTAGGTGCCGGATGCGGTGCCTGGAATGTTGCTGTGGTCTCTGGGTCGGTGGTGGCGTGCTCGTTCTGCCGGCTCCTCAACTGATCCAGGTGTCTCCGCCAAATGCGCCCGTCTTCTAACTGGACGTGGTACGACCTGGGCCCCATGATGGCCACGATCCTGCCAGGTACCCACAACGGGTCTCCCACATAATTTCTGGTGAAGACTTGATCCTGTAAGACAAAACTCCTGACCCTACTGTTAGACCCAATGGGTGTATCTGGGCAATAGTGAGGGTGCAGCCTGTCTAGTATTGTCCTTAAGCGTCTGCCCATCAGTAGCTCTGCCGGTGACTTGTTTGTGACCGTGCACGGGGTCGAGTGTTGGCTTATAAGGAATCTAGAGAGTCTGGAATGCCAGTCATCTTGGGAGAACCTGGCGAGGGCCTCTTTGGTTGTTCTGACTGCTCGTTCGGCCAACCCATTGCTCGAGGGGTGAAAGGGAGCCGTTAGGATGTGCCGGATGCCTAGGTTGGCGACATACCGGCTGAAGTCTGTGGATGTAAATTGAGGACCGTTATCCGACACAATGGTGTCTGGGAGACCGTGTGTGACGAACAAACGAGTCAGTGCTTGGGCGATTGCTCGTGTGGTGGTTGAGAGTAGGAGTGCCACATCGATCCATTTAGAAAATGAGTCTACTACTATTAGGAATGTTTTGCCATGGAATGGGCCGGCCAGGTCAACATGTAGACGAGACCATGGTGCGTTGGCGCTTTCCCATTTGGTGGGAGGGGTTACTGGGGGCGCTGGCCGGGATTCTTGACAGGGACGGCAGGAGCTTACCCATTTTGCAATTTCGTCGTCCATGCCCGGCCACCATACATAGCTCCGTGCCAACGCCTTCATTCGTACAATGCCGGGGTGCCCTTCGTGTAATGCCTTCAGGACGGGTCTGCGTAGTGATTCTGGAATGACAACTCTGGTCCCCCATAGCAGACAACCCTGTAAACTGGAAAGTTCCTGTTGGCGGACTTTAAAGGGTGAAAATTCGTTAGAAGGGTTACTGCCCGGCCACCCCCTCCGTACCCAGTCCAGGACCTGGGCGATCAGTTTGTCCTTCCTGGATTGGAAGGCAATGTCTCTCGCAGTGATTGGAATTCTGAACTCACTGGTGTCAAAGATGGTGTGGACTGGGGCCGGATCCTCCACAGGCGTTGGTAGCGGGCACCGGCTGAGGGCGTCTGCATGGCTGAGATTTTTTCCTGGACGGTGCACTAACTTGTATGAATATGCTGCCAGGAATAAAGTCCATCTTGTCATTCGGGGAGACAAGACTTGTGGTGTTTGGTTTTCTCCGGAGAGAAGCCCCAACAATGGTTTGTGGTCTGTAACCAGTTCGAAGTTGTGCCCAAATAGAAATTCATGAAATTTTTTAACAGCTGCTACGGCAGCTAGGGCCTCTTTGTCGATTTGGCTATAGTTGCGTTCTGTCATTGAAAATGTTCTAGAGAAGAACGCAATGGGGGCTTCGGACCCGTTGGGTAGTCTATGACTTAATACGGCCCCAATTCTGAAGGGCGAGGCATCTGCTGCCAAAACTAGCGGTAGGTTCTGGTTGAATTGGATCAGTACAGCGTCTGAAGTGAGGAGTGACTTGACTGCCCTGAAAGCGTATTCCTCTTTGGGTCCCCAGTGCCATGGAACATTTTTATCTAAGAGTCTATGCAGTGGTTCTGCCACTGATGCCTTGTGCGGCAGAAATGATGCATAGAAGTTCAGCAGGCCTAGGAAGGCTTGTAGTTCTGGTTTGGACGACGGTGTGGGTGCCTCGTGAATGGCTTTAACCTTTGATTCTACCGGGTGGATGCCAGAGGCGTCTATTCGGTACCCGAGAAAGTCCACCTGCTTAGTGGCTATGGTGCATTTTTCTTTTTTTAGTTTGAGGCCATGCTGTCTGAATCTGTCCAACACCCCTCTAACTCTGAGGAAAAGCTGTGTTCTGTCCCGGGCGGAAACCAAGATGTCATCAAAGTACGGAACCACGCCAGGGAGGCCCTGTAGGATCCGTTCCATTAACGACTGGAATATGCCCGGGGCGACACTCACACCAAATTGGAGGCGCTTGCATCGGAAGGCCCCTCTGTGGGTAACAATGGTTTGCAATTCGGCCGTTTGGTTGTCTACAGGAAACTGTTGGTAAGCCTGTGACATATCCAATTTGGCGAATATCTTTCCGGGTTCGAATGTGTGCAGTAAATGCTGGATTACTGGCACTGGGTATGTGCTAGTCTGTAAATAGCGGTTTATTGTAGTCTTGTAGTCTGAACACATCCTTATACTACCATCTTTTTTGAGGGGTGTGACAATAGGTGTCTCCCACTTAGCAAAATCCGTGGGTTTGATTACCCCTTGTTTTAACAATTTGTCTAGTTCCGCATCCAGCTTAGAACGCAGAGCGAATGGCACTCTCCACGGTTTCAAACGGATGGGAACTGCCTGGGGGTCCACTGAGAGAGAAATAGGTGTGCCCTTGTAGCACCCCAGTTCATCGCTGAAAACGTCAGCGTAATCAGAGAATAGTGAGTCGGTGTCAGAGGACGAGACAGCATGAACCCCCGTTAAGTTAAGGCCAAGAGAGGGGAACCAATCCAACCCCAAAAGACTAGAAAGGGCACCATCAACTACCACTAATGGCAGGTGTCCTTTAAAGGTTCTGAATTTGACTAGGAACTTGCCTGTTCCGATTACTGGAATGTTCTTTCCTTGGTAGTCTCGTAAGGATAGGCGACTCTTCTGCAGCTGTTTCCTGGACAGGCTGGGACGTATCTTCTTGAGCGTGCTCCATGAAATAATCGAGAGCGCTGACCCGGTATCGACCTCCATTAGGCAGGGTTTACCTTCTAAATGAATGGAGAGTTTAATTTTATTGGGTGTTAAGAAGGTATGGTTAGCTTGATAGCATGTAAAACAGTTTTCTACTTGCCTGGATGGCCCCGAGGGGGCGTAAGATGGTGGCTTTTGTGGAGCCACGTGCGCTGCCTGGCACACCCTAGCGATGTGTCCTCTTCTGCTGCAGTTGTTGCAGGTGGCACTTTTGAACTTGCACGTTGCTCTGGCATGGGGACCCCCACAGGAGAGGCACAGCGGGGTGTGCCTAGGTACGTTGCCTTCTCTCGGTCTAGTTCCTACCTGTGGCTGCTTGAATGGTTTGAGACGGTGCACTTCAGATTGCTCGATGGGCTCTTCTTCGTTCACTGCCTCCTCAGAATGTACAGTGACTGGATTACCTTTGGGGGTGCTTCCCTGTATTTCAGCTGCTGACTGTATTGCCAATTCTGCAGCCAGGGCTTCCTCGATGGCTTGTGCTAGGTTGAGGTCCTTCCTTGCCAACAACCGCCTCTGTAGTCTTGTATCCTTGACCCCGCAGACAAGTTGGTCCAGGAGCATGTCATCAAGGTAGCCTTTAAATTCACAGTGCAGGGCTGCGGTTCTGAGGGCTGCCATATATTGGTTTATGGTTTCTCCCTCCGCTTGCTTTCTCATGCGAAAGGCGAAGCGTCTCACGATCTGTGACGGTTTTGGCGAATAATGATTGGAGAGGGTCTCCAGTAGCTCAGACCATGGGACATTCTTGAGTTCTCTTGGGGCAAACAGTGCTGTTGCCGTGTCAAATACGGTGGCCCCGCAGTAGCTTAGGAAGAAAGACTTCTTTTTGTTGTCTGTAGCGTCAGCCAGACCCACAGCATCAATATAATGGTTAAACCGGTTTTTATAAGAGTCCCATTTATCTTCGTCTGGTTTGAATGGCTGGAACGCCGGATTCGCATTCATGACTGGTTCAGCTTGCGGCAGGTAAAACAAGTCTCACTGGGAATACAGGCCCTGGAAGGGGTAGCAGCTACAGTTTGTAGTGCTGTTAACGAGTGTTCAGCTTCTGAGTTCTCTCTGGGTTGTACAGGTAGCAGCTGCGCTCGCAGTGCAATTTCGGTCTGGTGATTCAGCTCGTGGAATCTCTCTGGGTTTTCTCGCTCTCTGCAGCCCTTGGCGGCTGGGAACAGACGCTATAACTGACGTCTGTTTGAATTTCGCGCCCTTACAAGGGCGAGGCGGCGATGCTGCAGCTGCGCGCTGACAGCGATTTAAATCTCGCGCCTAGATTTAGCGGTCGTGAGCGTCGCGCTGGAGCTTCGCTACACGCAATTCTGGCAAGTTTGTTGTTGGGCGGCTGAGGCTCTCAGTGCCCACACTCTTGTAGCTAGTTTGTGTTCTTGAGCGGCTACACGCTCCGCTTCGATTCCTTCCCAAATGGCTGACCGAGCTCTCAACGTCGCGGCTACGGTTCAGCGCTTCAGATTCGTGATTTTCAGCTCTTGTATAGCTGCTGGCTGGCCAAATCCCACCTTCGTCGCCAATGTTAAGTTCGGAAAGAAGGGAGGCCACACCAGAGCTTCAGTCATAACGCACTTTATTCGTGGGAATAAAGGGGGCTGTCGCGTCTGCAGCTAACAGCAGACCTACCAGCGAACAGCAGCTGGCTCAACCTAGCAGCCGGCTTTTATAGCCGACTGTCGAAGGGAGCCAGCCAATGGGGACTAAGAACGCCCCCGCAAGAATTGCGGACCTGATGGGGAACTGGTGTCAGCCCCAAGGACATAACACTAACTGTCAGGAAATTTCTCCTTAGTTCTAAGTTGCTTCTCTCCCTGATTAGTTTCCACCCACTGCTTCTTGTCATGCCCTCAGGTGCTTTGGAGAATAGCTTGACTCCCTCTTCTTTGTGGCAGCCCCTGAGATATTGAAACACTGCTATCATGTCTCCCCTGTAGTGTAATCAGACTCCGGGCTCATACTCCAGGCCCATGTGGTGGACATGCCCAAAAGCAAAAACATATCGGACTAAAATACATACTTGGATAGAAAAAATGATAAAGGAACACATAGATTTAAAACCAGAAATATTTCTGTTGGGTATCATACCAGAAAAATATTTAAAAAGAACTATGTATTTAATACTACATGCATTAACAGCGGGCAGAATTTTATTTGCACAACATTGGAAAATACTAGAATGTGCAGAAATGGTAGATTAACACTTGAAATTAAAGAGAAGAAAGATACAGATTATTTTGAAACATGGGATTCATTAAATAACAGAAATAGAAGTTAGAATATTTAAAAGTATAAGCAAAGGATTAATTTTATCATGAGGATTTATTATATGTTTATTATCAATATGATTTAGTATTAACATTTAACTATTAATATTATGTTGAAAAATACTGTTATGATATGATCACTACTAATGAACATGATGATGATGATGATGATGATGATGATGACTATTGCTCAAACTAACTGTAACTGACAACACACTGTTTATATGGACATTGAACTTGTTCCTTTCTTTATATAGTAAAATTTTTTTTGGAAAAAAACAGATTTAAATTACAAGGAAATAGATTTTAGGAAAAAATTTCCTAAAGATATTTGAAGAAAGGCTGGATGGCCATTTCATAGGAATGATCAAATAATGGATTCCCTCACTGGACGGACAGGTGGACTTTATAATTTCTACGATTGGTTGGTTCCTACTTTTACATTCTATGATATTCTAGTTTCCAGCTTACTACCATAAGCCTATTATCACATCACAAATGCTAAACACATAATGTCTCCTCAGCTAATATTTGAGTGGAGTTGATCTTCATTCAAAGGCATCCAGAGGGGAGAAAGAGACAAATACTAACATATTCATTATGATACACTTGTGTCAGATATTATGATGCAAACATACATATTACCTCATTTAGCTTGTTCGGGACACCACTATTTTTATTCTCACTTGGAGATGAAATTAAAATACTTGGGAGCCTCATTTTCAATGCCATCATCTAAGAAACTACTTACTTCTGCGATCATCTAAGAAACTTCTTCCTCTATTTTTAATTGATTTGTTAAAACGTATATCAATTGAAATTTGTCTTACAGAAATATTTTTGGTTGTGGCTTCGTAGCGAATCTGGCATAGAAAACGATCATAACTTGGTTCATGTTGGTTTCTTCTCAGGTCAACTCTTAGCATTTCCTTCATCCCTTCTACTTTCAGTATTTCAGGAGGACTAGGTTTTACTAGAATTGAGAAATGAGTGGTAAACTTTCAGAGTTTAACATACAATTTAACTATAGTCAGCAACAGAAAACATCCTAATTTAGGGTAAAACGACTAGACAGGAAACCCAGGTCTGTAGCAATAATTCCTAAGAACTATACAAAGTGACCAAATTCACCTTGCACAAAGATATATCAACTAAGGACTGCAATATTTTTATCAGTTTTCTGCCTAGTATTCCAGATATCCATAGAGAAATACCATTCAAATCTATAGTTAAATCCCACTCAGGGTTTTAGAAATCAAGTGGTCACAGATATCCAGGAATGAATTATTATACTTCATCTCAACACAACTAGAGCAGCGGTTGCCAACCAGTGGGCCATGGCCCACTGTTGGGCTATGAGAAAATTTTGGTGGGCCGCAGAGAAATCTCACCCCCAGAGCACCCCACAAAGCAATTAATCCAGGCTGCGCAGAAACACAAGGCTGCGCCACCCACATGGCCCACGGAAACCCTGCCCGCTCACTCACTCCTTACCCAGTAAACTTGCCTGCTAAATTTCCATTTTTCCTTTTTCTGACCATCATCTGTTCTGCTGTGCTGGGAGATTTAGATTAGCTAGGAAGCAGGAAATGGTTGGATTTTTTGCTTTCTAGCTAGTCTTTAGATCTTCGGCTCTGCTTGAACCTTAGGATTGAAGGTTTGCTTGCAAGCAAATTTGAGAGACTGAGCTAGCCGATGGCAGATAGGGAGATCACTGAATGATTCTGTGAGCAACTCAATCTGCCTGCTTTGCCTGATTTTGGGTCAAAGTTGCTCTTTCTTTTAAATAAAAAATTCCGTATTTACATGCATGGAGTGTCGTGAGTTAATTTTGTGAGTTTGCTTGCAAACAAATTTTATGTGACAGACTGAGCTAGCCAATGGCAGATAGATAGATTTCTGAATGAATCTGTGATTCTGTGAGCAACTCAATCTGCCTGTCTGCTTTGTCTGATTTTGGGTAAAAGTTGCTCTTTTTTATAAAAAAAATTCAATATTTATATAAATATTTATAATATTTACATACAAGCCAGGCCCAGTCAGTCACAGGACCACCAAGCCACACCCACAAATTAGGCCACACCCACAGAACCAGTTAGTGGTCCCTGGGATCTAAAATTATGAGTTTGGTGGTCCCTGAGGTCCAAAAGGTTGGCGACCCCGAACTAGAGAATGCAATCAAGTAAAAATTGGCACGACTGTAGATGGAGTGTTGAAATATAAACCCTGTCCCATTTGAATGGGCAAATGGTGCTCATACCAAAAAGATAGATCTTGCATCATAGACTGCTTTTGCAGGAACTGTTGCATCAATTCCTTCATTTCACAATTGCAACAATAACAAACTATAAAATCTTTCCATGGGGGCAAACAATACATTTAATGTATTTTGAACATCCCATCTGTACTCAATAAATTATAAACTTAATTGAAGCATAATAACTTCAAATATAAAATAATAATCTTTCCAATCCATCCATCTTTTCAAATTGGATTGGGGAGGCACACTTTCGCTTTAATCTTACTATCCAGGTGAACCTTGGAGGCATGTATTTTCCGTAGACATGCTACCTTATGGAACCACTGCCCCCATGATTTAAAAGGCCCCCTCCCCCAACATTTTCGCTTTTGACATCAGGTCCTAACATTTTTTTCCATATGCTGAGATAGAATGAGAATATCTGGAACTGGTTGTGAGGCATCCCAAGGGGATGTTTGAGATGCTGCGTTTCATTCTTATGGTTTCTGATTTTATAATCATTGGTTTTACTGTTTAAGAAGAGGGGTCACACAAATATTTTAAATGAAGAAATAAATGATAAATAAAGGAGAATATTTGTAGTCAGGGTTGAAATGAGGGATCATTGGCGCTCTCTGACCTTGACTGTTTTCTTGCAGATGCTTCATTACCCAAACTAGGCCACATCATCAGTACTAGTAAGGAGTGGGATTTGCTCTCAATTTATATTCTAGTGGCTTGCCTTGTCAGTATTGCTGGGAGTGGTCTTGGAGGTTCTTTTGGGGTTATTAGCTTGTTTGGCAGTACTGTTTGGTGAATTGTTTATTTGTTGATTGTTGGTCTGATGTTAAACTTGGAGTTAACCTATGCTCATCTGGATGTTGTTTGCTGATGGGCAAGTATTTTGCTCTTTTTGTTCCCTTTTTGGCTTGTTGACTTAACCATAATTTCAACTGGAAAATGTGACCATTCTAGACCAAGCCAAGTCCAAAAAAGCTAGAGAATTTCTAGAAGCCTGGCATTCTGACAAATTAACCATCAGTAGACATATAGACATAAATAAAATATCTACATACTGTGCAAAAGAGACAATCAACAAGCCAAAAAGGGAGCTAAAAACCCAAAATACTTCTCCACCAGCAATCAACACACAGATGAGCACAGATTAACTCCAAGATTAATATCAGACCAACAAAAATACCCCAATCAAGGAACTGCCAAACAAGCTAACAGTAAACAGCTCAACCAAAATACATCCAAGACCACCCCTATCAATACTGATGGAATAAGCCACTGGAATATAAACTAAGAGCAAGCCCTTTCAATACTAGCACTGATGATGTTACCTAGTTTGAGTAATGAAATGTCTATAAGAAAACAAGCTCAGAAAGCATTGAGGACCTCTCATAAATAAATATTTTATTAAGTCAAGAGTTGACTTACATATGTCTATCATACGTTGGGAAGGCAAGTTGAATGTTTCTCCAACGAGTTCTCCAACTTTGACTTGTTTAACAACACTCCCAGATAGAATGTAATTTGCTATACATGAACCATTTTCCATTGTACCGTTATTTGTTTGACTTTTCCCATTGCTGAAATAAGTAAAGAAAAGTAGATTGTTATATTTTAAAAAATCTGAATTAAAAAAGTCAAAAGTCAAGAATTTTATCATGAACCAATCATAGAGGGTTTTTTTAGACCTGACATAATTTAGGAAAAAAATAAGCACAAAAAATAATGTCCCCAAAACTGCTAAGGTCAAAGTAGAAGTAATAACTAAAGATTATGTCATCTTGTTCAAAACAGAATTGCGATTGGTAATTAAAACAAGTTCTAAATAAAGCCAAATATTACGTGACCAACACTGTAGCAGGCAGAAAGTAAAGCAAGACTAGCATGGAAGGAAGGTTAGCAAGGATGCTAACCAGGGGTGGGATTCAAAAATTTTAACCGGTTCTGTGGGTGTGGCTTAGGTGGTGGGTGTGGTTTGGTGGTCATGTGACTGGGTGGACATGACTGGGTGGTCATGTGACTGGCTGGGCTTGGCCAACTCAATATCACTCACATCGAGACATGCATCTCCTCGCCTGGCCTCTCATGACTGTGGGAATGCTGCAACAGTCGTAAGTGTGAATAATGGTCATAAGTCACTTTTTTCGGTGCCATTGAAACTTTGAATGGTCACTCCACACAAGCAAAGTACCAGCAAAGGAGGGGAAAAAAACTCCAGAGACGTTCCTGAGACAGGAAGTCTAGTCTTGCCAAGCATGTAATAAGGGTTAATGGAGAGGCAGTTTCTGTAAGCAACACCAGATTGTTTCCTTCCTGCCTTCCTTACAGGATTTGGCCAGTAATTTCTTCTAACAACCGGTTCTCCGAACTGCTTAGAATGTTAACAACCGGTTCTAGCGAATAGGTGTGAACTGGTAGAATCCCACCCCTGATGCTAACTGAGCTAACAGGAATTAAAGACTTCTAGATTCATCCTTTAGTTATCAGGTATGTTTAACTCATGAGAAGTGTCTTTCTGAATGCAGCATTACATACAAGAAGTTCTATTTCTTAAGTAAGCATTTTGCCTGGTTACTCCTGGAATTTCTTTCCTCTGATATTTTCTTTCCTAAGAGGTAAGTAAGATTCGACCAATAGTTCCATGTGAAGACTGGAAGGTCCTTGTCACCTGACCTTTTTTTTCTAACAGAAGCAAACCTCTATTATATATACAGTAATAGGCTGTGCAAAACTTGAAGCAACGTCTGGTTGCCGTGTTAGGCTGGATAAGAAGCAATAAAAGAAAGATGGTCATCCCAAGGGACCAAACATCTGCTAAAACTCATAAAGTCCTCCTAGAAGAAGTCTACATTCAGCCCAGCCCAAAGTCTGGGAAAAGAATCAGGTTTCCGAGGCAAAATTAACAGACAACAGGCTTTCAGATCTTCACATCTCTGGGAAGATGTTTTCCATAAAGGAGCCTCTCTGACAGAAGATGCACCTCAGATGACATTGTTTAATGGATGGGACCTGGAGCATACCAATTCTGTTTGACCTCACAGGAGAGGCAGCAGCAACAGAGAAAAGGCAAACTCTCAAATGAATAATCTCTACACTGTATAGATGATGGTCATCAGTTGATTCCACCCCATAATCACCATTCCAATTGCCACTTACTTTTCTGTGGTAACAACCCAGCAGTTTGTACCACTGGGTAGTTCTCTTCCAGACGTCCAGCTACAATTAAGAATGTCACTGTAATAATAGATGCAAGAAATGATTTCAGGTTTCTGCGGCGAGGCTGTAATTAAGTGGAACAAAAGAATAACTGTCATCAGGCATTATTTAATTGCTTTATGGTCTTCTAAATATTAAAAGCACAAGTATTTATCTGAGTAATTTTCTTCATTTTATCTTCAAACAATAACCTGTGAGGTATGTTGAGCTAGAACAGGGGTGTCAAAAGTGTGTCATCACGGCAGCATCACATGACGTATCGTGACTTTTCCCCCCTTCTCTAAACCGGAGGTGGGTGTGGCCAGCACATGATGCATCCAGCCTGTGGGCTGCAGGTTTGACAGCCCTGAGCTAGAGAAAAAGAGTGACCCAAAGCTACTCGGTTAGTTTCCATGACTGAGGGGAGACTCTTCAGTTCATTACTTTACACTGGCTCCTTTCATTTCTAAAGGGAGATCTGTTTTAAATAACTACGGCTAGCTTTTAAATTATACTGTAACTCTTACTATAAACCCACTGTTTTCATTAGGAAATAATATTGTTCCACGTCTATCAGCTTTGAATTATCTTTGGTTATCAAGATTTATCTGTATTCTGTTAAAGAGGATAAATGACATACAGTACAAAGGGTACATGCACATAAACATTTTTCACTGTGCCAATGAAAATCTTCCTTCTGCCCCAATTAGCTCCAAGAAATAAATTCCAAATATCAAAAATATTATTAGCCTTTACCAGGGATTCAATTAAATAAAATTGCAAAATTTAAACTGTTTAAGGCAACCCTTGTTTAGCAACTTCAATTGGGATCTGCAACTCAGTTGCTAAGTGAAGTGGTCCTTAAATGGAAAATCACATGACACCCAAATAGGCTTTCTCCCTTCCCTCTCTTTTGAAAAGTTCACCAGGGTACTGGGACAATTAGACAGAAGGGAAATTATATACAGTTACATTTATTTCAAAGGAAGGGGTTACCCCCCCAAAAATAAGCAGACACACAATGAGAAATGCACATCCAAAGGTATGCACTCCAGCTGGCTGTTGGTCTACTGCAGAGGTCTCCAAACTTGTCAACTTTAAGACTTGTGGACTTCAATTCCCAGAATTCTCCAGCCAGCTGGGAGTTGAAGCCCACAACTCTTAAAGTTTGGGGACCCCTGGTCTACTGCATGGCCCCAAGTCACTTAGACAGCAGACAAAGACAATGGTGTGAAACCAAGTAGTCCTGTCAATTACAGGTACAGCTGGGGCTAACTAAGGTCACAGAGTTGAGCTTGTTTATCTACAGTTGGAAACTTTTGGGGAAGTGCTGGGCTGCAAAGAAAAACAACTCAGGAAACTGTTCTGGACTAGCAGGCTCGTAGCCTGCAAATCTGATTGGCCCGCTGAAAGCCGATCGTGATTGGTCGCCATAGACTGATATGATTGGCTAATAAACGGGCTGCCACGATTGGCCCTGCCAAGAGCAGCAAACTCAAATCGCCTTCATTGGCTGCCTAGCCGCAGCCAGCCCTATAAAAGGGGCTGCTGTGGCTGGGTTTAGTTGCTCAGATCTGAAGTCACAAATAAAGAGCTTTAGTTACTGTCTGAGTCTTGCCTCCGTTCTTGAACCATCCTCCCAGATACAACACTGGCGACGAGGATGGGATGCGGAGGCAACAGAAGCTATTAAATTGAGCTAGCTGAAGGAGCACGTGGCTGACAGAGCGCAACGACAGCAATATGGCCTGCAGCGCTATACCACCCGCACCATTTGATCCAGCTAGCGAAGATTGGGACTCATACATGGACAGATTTCAAATGTCCCTGGAGTCCAACAACCTCAAAGATGCCACGCCCAGCAAGAAACGAGCCGTTTTTCTAACCCATTGTGGACCAGCCATTTTTAAGATGGCTAAAGCCTTAGCCAAGCCAGCTGAAGTTAAGACCATGGATTGGGACACCCTTGCTCCCATCCTGCACAACCATTATGCCCCAGCCGTGCCAACTCTCATTTGCAGGCATGAGTTCTATCAGAGGGACCAACATGAAGGTGAGAGCGTTGGGGATTTTGTGGCAGACCTGAGGAACCTGGGTGGTTTGTGTGGCTTCACCAACCTCGAGGAAGCCATGAGAGATCGCATAGTCCTTGGCCTCAGGGACCCAACCACTCAGAGCAAGATCATGGCCAAGGGAGACATCGCGCTTGCAGATGCCATAGCAGATGCCACAACAGCTGAAGCCACTCGTAAATCAGCAGCACGAATGCGTCAAACCAGCGGGACCAACCGCCAACCCACCAATGATGCTGGGAAACCTTCAGACAAGTACACATCAACCACCCATCACGAAGACGTCGAGTCATCCTTAGACAGCGAGGAAGAAGAAGTCCACAGGCTCTGGTCAGAACGTGAGCAACGGGACCAGCGGGATCACAAAGCCAACTACCAATGCGCCAGATGCAGGGGAAACCATCCCCGATCCGAATGCAGATTCTTAGATGCCATATGCCGTTTTTGCGAGAAACGGGGACACATCGCGAAGGTATGCAGAAACAAGAGAAATTCCAACCCCAGACGGAGAGGGAGCAGCCCAAAGAGAAACAATGGCAATGCCACCACGCAGAGGGACCGCCCTAGTAACCAGTGGAACTGGTACAGCAGACCCCGAAGGTTTAACGACGTCCCCAGACGAGAGGAGGCTCATCAAACCATCATCATCGACTATGCTTCATCACTTGACACTAAAAAGATCCGAGTAGAGGTCACAATTGAAAACAAACCGTGCAACATGGAAGTCAACTCTGGGTCATCACTATCCATGGTATCCTGGAGAACACTCAAGCAGCTAGTCCCCAACATCCAACGCCAAGACCTCAGTAGTCAGAGAATCATACTAAAAGACTACCAAGGCAACCGGATTCCAGTCGCAGGTACCCGCCATGTGCAGGTCTCGTTCAAGGGACATAAGGCAATTCTACCACTCACCGTCGTAGACCAAGATCGGCCAAGTTTATTGGGTCTTCAGTGGTTCGCGCCACTAGGAATCGGAGTGGCTGGCATCCATCACACTGAAGACAATGACTGGGAGGCGACTCTCATCCACGATTTCCAAGAAGTGTTCAACGAAAGCCTAGGCAAGTACAAGGGGCCCCCCATTTCATTTAATCTTCGCCCCGACATAGCACCCATTCGTCTAAAGCCACGCCGAGTTCCCTTTGCTCTTAAATCCAAAATTGACGAGCAACTGGACAAATTAATTGTGCAAGGCCTGTTAGAACCTATTGACCATGCCCAATGGGAGACACCAATCGTCACCCCCATAAAACCTGACGGGTCCATAAGAATCTGCGGTGACTATAAGGCCACCCTCAATCACGCGCTACAGCAGAGCGCCTGCCCAGTGCCAGTTGTTCAACATCTCTTGCATTCACTTGGGGGTGGCAAAATATTGGCAAAATTAGATCTGGCCCAAGCGTATCAACAGCTACCAGTTGATCCCGAGACTGCAGAAGCCCAAACTATAGTCACACATCGTGGTGCATTCAAACGCAACAGACTCCAGTTTGGTGTAAGCGTAGCCCCAGGCATCTTTCAAAGCCTGATGGAGAGACTATTACAAGGGATAAAAGGGGTCGTGCCCTATTTTGATGAAGTATTAATAGCAGCACCCACAAAAAACCAATTAGAAAAACATCTCAGAACGGTCCTACAGAGATTCAAAAATGCTGGCCTCAAGGTTAAGAAGGAAAAGTGCCAGCTTTGCACAGAAAGGGTGGAGTTTCTTGGCTACCTTCTTGACAAGCAGGGAATCCACCCCACAGAAAAAAAATTGGCAGCTATCAAAAACGCCCCAAGACCTAAAAACAAAACCGACCTCCAAGCCTTCCTGGGACTTATTAACTTTTATAACATCTTCCTACCCCAGAAGGCGACTGTTGCTGAGCCCCTTCATAGACTACTCGATAAAAGGGCATCCTGGAATTGGGGACAGTGGGAGGAACATGCCTTCCAGCAAGTAAAAGACCTCCTTACCTCAAAGGCAGTACTAATTCAGTATAACGAGACGCTACCTTTGACTGTCATGTGTGACGCCTCACCATTTGGGGTAGGGGCCATCCTGAGCCACGTCCTACCAAACAGCTCAGAAGCACCAATTGCATTTTTTTCACGAACTCTATCAAAAACAGAAAGAAACTATAGCCAATTAGATAAGGAAGCCCTTGCTATTGTCTCTGCAATAAACGTTTTCATGAATATGTTTATGGGAGACCGTTTTCTATTATAACGGATCATAAGCCACTACTTGGGATCCTGGCGGGCGACAAACCTACTCCACACATTCTCTCCCCCAGAATGACGCGATGGTCGGAATTTCTCGCTGCCTACGACTATCAATTAAAGTACCGCCCGGGGAAATCTATTCCCACGCAGATGCCTTAAGCCGCTCACCGCTACCCGAGCCACAGGAAGACCCAACTCCCACACTCCCCGTACTGCAGATAGAGACAATGCCATCACCTCTACTAACAGCACAAGACATCGCGTTGGAAACCAAAAGAGACTCTTGTTTGGCATGAGTTCTTGGCTGGGTGGAGAGGGGATGGCCAGATTACAACACTAAGGAAATGTTTAAGCTGTTTAAAAACAGACAAACGGAACTTTTTTCACAAAAAGGGTGCGTTTTGTGGGGAGACCGAGTTGTTGTACCAACTAAGTTACAAAAAAGGGTCTTGCAAATGCTACACGATGGACCCCCAGGCATCGTACGCATGAAAGCGCTGGCAAGAAGTTACACCTGGTGGCCAGGTATAGATAAACAAATCGAAACCTGGGTCGCCTCTTGTAACAAATGCCAGGAAAACCACTCAGCTCCACCTAAAGCCCCACCAACAGAATGGGAAACACCCAGGGGGCCTTGGTCTCGCATTCATATTGACTTTGCGGGACCTACGAGAGGCCACACCTTCTTAATAACTGTTGATGTCTACTCAAATTGGCTTGAGGTCAATAAAATGAAAGCAACCACTACGGAGGCGGTCATTAAAAAACTGAACAGACTTTTCGCCACACACGGGTTACCAGATGTCCTGGTCTCTGACAATGGGCCCCAATTTACTACCTTAGCCTTTGAACAGTATTTAGCGGAACGGGGCATCCAACACGCACTCACATCGCCAGCGCATCCTGCGGCGAATGGTAGGGCTGAACGAATGGTTCAGTTCACAAAGAAAACCCTACAGAAAATGGATCAAGGCAACATCCACGACAAAGTCACTAGAATGCTGCTCCTACAACACATCACACCAAGCAGCACGACCAACAAGTGCCCAGCTGAACTCCTGATGGCCAGGAAACTCAGATCGCCTCTAGATCGTTTGCACCCTGCCTACACCCTGGAAAAGCCCCTGGGTTCCAGCAGCAAGCACCGTGTTTTCAAGGTAGGAGACCTTGTCTTCGCAAAAAACTTTTCTGGGGATCCCCTTTGGATTCCTGCCCAGGTAACACAAGTTACGGGCCCCCGCTCCTACCGTCTACTCACCACTGATGGCAGACCATGGAAACGTCATATTGACCAACTGTGCTCCAGACTAACCACATCTTCCAACCCTGACCCTAACTTTGACACTGGGGGGGAGGGGAAGCAGTGAACTCAGAATTAGAACCAACACCTGTCTATTCCGAGCTATCACCGAGTTCACCGCACCATGGTTGGCAATACTCACCAGCTGCAACTGAGACTGGACAGTCGAACGCTTCGCCAGGAAGCAGCATCCTGGCAGGTTCAGTGGGTCCCGGGAGCCAGAATGGTAACAGCGAGGCTGAGGACTTCATCACCCCGAAGGCACCAGAGGAGAGCCCTGACCATGACACCGGTTCACCATTCCCGTTTGATCCAGCAAGCAGCCCATCTGAACCTGGGTTTGAACAGGGTCAAGTGGAAGTGCGTAAGTCTGGCAGACAAGTGCGAAGACCTGCTTACCTGCGAGACTATATTACTCCACCCCTTAAATGGAACCGAGAGGGGAGGGGTGTTCTTGGACTAGCAGGCTCGTAGCCTGCAAATCTGATTGGCCCGCTGAAAGCCGATCGTGATTGGTCGCCATAGACTGATGCGATTGGCTAGTAAACGGGCTGCCGCGATTGGCCCTGCCAAGAGCGGCAAACTCAAATCGCCTTCATTGCCTGCCTAGCCGCAGCCAGCCCTATAAAAGGGGCTGCTGTGGCTGGGTTTAGTTGCTCAGATCTGAAGTCACAAATAAAGAGCTTTAGTTACTGTCTGAGTCTTGCCTCCGTTCTTGAACCATCCTCCCAGATACAACAGAAACCATCCGCGTTTAAGCAATATCTCCACTCTGCGAGTGAGGATAGGAGAAGAAGACCACAACAGGCATAGGACAACACACACTGACTGACTGAACATGTGACTGAGACTGACACTGACACTGCTGAAGCCTTGGTTGTGAACTTATTGGGGTGGGTGGGTTCAGCACTATTGTAGCTTTGAACATTTGCTACACAAGGCCTATACAAAAACTACCTGTAAAGGTAGTGCTTGACTCACAACCAGTTGCTTAATGGCAAAACTGCCTATTTGGGAGAGTGACTTTGCACTTTTGACTGCCATAAAACTATCATAAGAAACAGTCAAAAAAGTTGGGTCTGCTCATGCGATGCCTCAACTTATGACCACAATGATTTATGACTGGAATTTCAGTCATAACTGGGGTCATGAGTCAAGGACTACCTGTGTTTTTAGCCTCAATCATACTAGAAAGATATACCACCAGCTTTTATGCTACCTGATCCTAACAGTTCTAAAAATTAAATATCACATTTTCTCCAAATTTATTTAGCATTGCAACTCAATGATAGGAAATATATAAAAGATTCAATTTACCAGTTAAGCAGAATATGCAAAGTATTGTCAAGTTCCAAAGCAAAGAGAGGAATGCTTTAATTTGGCTCATTTTGCAAAGGCTGGACATTCTGTAATAAAATGTAAGGTTTTCTTGTTAGATTCTTTTGCACAAAATGTTAGTAGTTCTCTGCCTACTGAATTCATAAAACCCAAGAATTTATAACAATCACACAAAACATAAGATAGTATTCTATATACATACAATATACCACAATTATTCTAGTCCCCTCCCCCCAATTTCTTATTCGTAGGTTGGAATAATAAAAATAATAATACAAAATAACAATAAAAGTCTCCTGTAATATTTACTGCATACTGTATTTTATTAAATATGATTAAATATTAGAATGAAAATTAAGTAGTTTAATATACAGAATTATCTTAATTGAATTTCAAGTTATGGAAAGTGGGAGGGAACAATAAATATTGTGCCTCACTTTCCCGCAAGATGATAAGTTGTTACTAATACCATGTATGTATTTCAAGGGCAGGATCTGAAAAAGAGCTCTGATTATTAATTGATGATCATCTTCGCAGGAATACAACATGCTTCCTATGGTCTTTTAGAACATTTAATGAATATATTATTGTATGTGAGTCATTAGGTAACATTAGATTTAATTATATATAGCTGGAATCAAGATATTGTCATAGTTGCTGTCCTTCTATCTGAGAACAGAACTTCTGATTTTACTACTTAGTTGACATGTTTTAGATTTTTTTTATCCCTCCTTTATTATTTTTACAAATATTTCAAGACAATCTTACAGAAGCCACACATCATTACATACCACAACATAGGTACAAATAAATTACATGGCAATGGCCAATAATAACATGGTATCAAGAATATATCTTAACCTTCTTCCTTCAGCATTAGGGCATACTATTTAAGATTTTGCCAAGAAAAACAGAGGCAGCAAGAATTTGATAAAAAAAAGGAATAGGTCTTTTGCCGCAAAAATTTTAATTTAACACAGCTTTACATGAGTCTTTCATTATTTAAAGTAGCCTTTTTTCCACATTCAGTCTTTATCTATAGCAATAGTAATAGCACTTACTTATATACTGCTTTACAGTGCTTTACAGCCCTCTCTAAGCAATTTACAGAGTCACCATATTGCCCCCAAGAATTTGGGTGCTCATTTGACCCACCTCGGAAGGATGGAAACTGAGTCAAACTTGAGCCTGGTGAGATTTGAACTGCTAAATTGCAGGCAGCCGGCAAGCAGCAGCAGTAGTCTGAAGTACTGCACTCTAACTACTCTAACTACTGCGCCACCACGGCTCATCTATAAAGATTCCTCCTTCAGTCTTCAGATACTCCCCCATGGGGCTGACTTACCAGTTACAATTACTTGTACTTTGGGGTAATAGAGAATTGGCAGTGGCAATCTTCAATATAACTTGTCTATTTATGATAAGTGTCAGAAGACAACATAAAGAACCTTGTATCCTAAAAGAGAGCTATTTTTTCCCAGACTTTTTTTTAAGTTTTAAAGCTCTACGCAAATTGTTCTGGAGCTGCAAAATGGATGGGGTATTAGAGGTTTTGAGTGTTTTTTTAATGACTTGCTTTTACAAGCTGCTTTGGAGATAATTCAATTAAAAATTCATATTTCCAAAATCAATAAATAGAACTTTCTATAGTTTATTAGAACATACTGAGGCCACTTTAATTAATGTAACTTGCGGAAATTCTGTCCAACAGTTGGAACATTTTATGTGGGCTTTGCTAATAATAATGTCTCCTTGTTTTCAATGTCCTTCAGTTCTTAGAGTACTACTGGTATTTATTGACACAAATAAACAAAAGAATATTCTTAGGGACTGATTTTTCCTGGCAAATACATGCAGGAAACACTATTTATTTTCTCTTTAAAATTTAGCCTTGGTCCCTTTGTCCTTTTTCAGACAGTTTTTTTCCACCTCTTTCAGAAAGTGTATTCTCTCCAAATCATTGGGAAATAAAATTAATTGATATTAATTCTGTGTAAGATTTCTGAATTGCTTAATTATGTAGTATCTTACAGAAATGAAACAATGGCTATAATTGTTACACTAAACCCGTGTTGGGGAACCTATGCCATGCGTGCCGGAAGTGGCACGCAGAGCCATTTCCCTGATATGCGAGAGGTCGCCCAGAAGAGCCCCACTACGCATGCACATGCATGTGGTGACACCCTACAGCTGGTTGTTGGGTATCTAGCATGCATGCACAGGGGGCAGAGGGGGGTGCAGGGGACTGCATGCGCATGTGAAGGGATGCACTGCACACGAGGGGATCATGCGCACACGCACAAATGCACTGTGCGTGAGGGCAGAATCGCACATGCATGCACAGATGCACAATGCGCAAGGGGGAATTACGTGCGCATGTGTGGCGCATGACGGGGAATCGTGCACACATGCGCAGGGGGCATGGGTGTCCAGCACTCATTGCCTTCTGGGTGCTAGCACGCAAGGGAGCACAAACAAGGGTGCATGCAATTATCGGCATGGGAGCCAAAAAAGGTTAGCCACCACTACGCTAAACCATCATTTCAAATCAGATTACAGATTGTACTTTATAATCTCTTACTTTATAATTATAACCATCATTTACAATACTAATTTACCACAGAAAAGCAAACTATGGTTTGCCAATTGTCATATAGTGCCAAATTATTTCAACTTATTTGTATTGTACTTTAGTAACACTTCAGAAATTACCTAAGTGGTTTATCTCAAATAATATATGTTTTCTGCGTACATATTTGTTATCAAATTTTAATATAAAATATTTCCCCATTAGAGCAACAGAATAATAATAATCTAGGAAATAGAAAAAAGGTTTATTGAGATTCTCCTCTTAACAGAACATCATAAACTGATATCAGCAATTCAGTCAAATTTCCTTAAAAGGAACTCAAATTGGATATAAGAAATCTCAAAAGTCATCTATTTGTAGATATTATTTGTTTTAAAAAAAAACAAATTCCACATCCAAAATGAGAACATACAACTTAGAACTGCCAAGTTTGAAAAATACTGTTCTAAACTAATAGTAATTTTAATTCTAGGACAAATTTGGGGTGTTTATAGGAGCCCCTTTTAATATGCCTTTTCCCTTTTCTTGTGCAAAAAAGGACAAGCTAGTTTAAGTAAAAAAAAAGATACATAATACTCATAGGACTTTTATTAAATTTCTGCTAGCTAGAAAGAATTGTATTAGCTACCAAGTTCAGATATAGTTTAAGAGCTGATCTTTTACTCTTTTCAACATATGGAAAACTTTAGGGAAATCCCCAAACATAATTTATTTCTAGTACAAAAAATCCTAATTCCCCAGAATTACAGAGACTATGAGGGAAGTAGGTCTTTTTTGTACTAGAAATAAATAATGATTCAGCAGTCAAGCTGCCCTTCCTTTATTATTTATTTATTTGTTTATTTGTTTATTTATTCTGTCAATTGCTTACAAGATAATAGGTATAAGTAAAAACATAGTTATGAATACATGGATACATATAAGAAAAATAAAAAATAAAAGAAACAATAGGACAGGGACCTTAGGCACGTTGGTGCGCTTATGCACGCCCCCTACAGACCTCTTAGGAAAGGGGTGAGGTCAATAGTAGACAGTCTAAGGTGAAAGTTTTTGGGGTTTGGGGAAGAAACCACAGAGTCAGGTAGAGTATTCCAGACATCGACCACTCTGCTGAAGAGATGGGAAGATGAGGGTGTTTTTTTTGTTTGTTTGTTTGTTCACTCTGGAAGAACTGTGGGCCACTTAACTGCCTATTCCATTTTCCATCCAGGGTTTGCCCAGAGAAATGGAAACTTTTTACCTAGTGCAAGTCCCTGGCTCCCCTACTGGTCCTGAAAATCAGTGGCAGGGACCTTGGGGGTATGCTCATGAGACCTTCAGGGATGGCTGGGGTGAGATAAGCCAAGCTGATCTCCAAAGGCTACACTGCAGATTGTTGGACCTAGGTCTGTGATGGCAAACCTATGGCATGCATGCCAGAAGTGGCACGCAGAGCTCTCTCTGTGGCCACGTGAATTGTTGCCCCAGTTCAGCATTGCCGTACATGTGCATGCACGCCTCCCACTGGCCAGCAGGTCTTCGGGTCTCTGCCGTGCATGCACAGGGTGGTGTGCATAAATGGGGTGGGGTGCATGCACGGGGGCACATGTACTGCATTTTGGGGATGTGCACATGCACTTTGGGCACTTGGTGCTGAAAAAGTTAGCCATCACTGAGTCCTAGGTTGTGTCAGCCAAAAGGAAAAACATTCGTTTGGAACCAGGGGTGGGATTCAAATTTTTTAACAACCGGTTCTGTGGGCATGGCTTAGTTGGTGGCATGGCTTGGTGTCATGTGACTGGGTGGGCGTGGCTTGGTGGTCATGTTATTGGCTGGACGTGGCCAACTCAATATCACTCACATCGAGACACGCATGTCCTCGCCTGGCCTCTCATAACTGTGGGGATGCTGCAACAGTCATAAGTGTGAAAAACGGTCATGTCACTCTTTTCAGTGCCATTGTAACTTTGAATGGTCACTCCACACAAGCAAGGTATCAGCAAAGGAAGGGGAAAAAAACTCTAGAGATGTTCCTGTGACAGGAAGTCTAGTCCTGCCAAGAACGTAATAAGGGTTAACGGGGAGGCAGTTTCTGTAAGCAACACCAGAATGTTTCCTTCCTGCCTTCCTTACAGGATTAGGCCAGTAATTTCTTCTAAGAACCAGTTCACCAAACTGCTTAGAAAGTTAACAACCGGTTCTAGCGAATAGGTGTGAACTGGTAGAATCCCACCCCTGGTGTTACATCTCTAATACTAATCAAATAATCGTAATAAACTTCCAAATCTAGTTATCACTTCTGCTATCTATTCATTGTTAGATGGGTAAATACTTTTAAAGAGGAAAAAAATCAGAAAAAAATGATTGCATACACAGTACAGGTACTCCTTGACTTACAACCACAACTGAGCTGAAAATTTATGTTGCTAAGTGAGAAATTTGTTAAGTAAGTTTTGCTTCATTTTTCAACTTTTCTCACCACATTAAGCAAATCACTGTAGATCTTAAATTAAGAACACGGTTGTTAAGTGAAGCTGGTTTCCCCATTGACTTTCCTTGTCAGAAGGTCGCAATCGGGGATCACATGACTCCAGGGCACCGTCATAAATGTGAGTCAGTTGTCAAGCATCCAAATGTAAATCACGTGACCATGGATATGCTGCAATGGTCACAAGTCTGAAAAATGCCACTTTTTTCAGCGCTGTGGTAATTTTGAACGTCACTAAATGAACTGTTGTAAATTGAGGACTACCTGTACAAGATTTATAATTATGCCAACTTTATAAAATGATTTAATGTACTTGCTTTTCCTCCAACTGTAGCACAGAATATTAAAGACCAGTGCGGACTCTGTAATTCAAAGATCATTCCCAATAAATTCTTCTGGAGAAGTTAAACATTTTTGTAAAAAATGCTGCTTCTTATTGAAATAAATAATACTGGGAAATGCTAGACAAAAGGTTATACTTTATTTGTTTATTCTTGAGTTTACCTGGGATGGCTTTAAAATTATTTCAATTGTTTCATAAAAGAAATTGCCAAATGAATGGAAAATGGAAACCACCTCAGGAAGAAGGTTGGAGGGAGGGAGGGAGGGAGGGAGAGATTCGTCCTCAGAAAGATTCATCAAGAATCCAGCCTTGAAAGGAAACGGCCAGGCTGTCCGAAGTTTGCTTACCGCTTCAAACGCCCAGATGGGGAGATGCGAGGCTTCTCAAGACTGCAATTTAACTTGGAGGCACCTTCTAGGAAAAGAGGCTTTCGCGACCGAGTCCAGGAGGAGGTAATAGAGGAAGGAAGAAGAGAGAAAAGTAAAGCGCCCGGGATTGGAGGAGCAAGATTATTATGCTCCGTTCCTCCGAAAGAGATTATATTCGCGGGAACTTGAGCAAGAAGCCGGGGAGGGACGGGGTGAAATGCAGAAGGAGATCCTGCAAAAATGGGGAATCGGAAGAAAAGAGGGAGGGCAGGAGGCTGGCTTGGTGGTGGTGGTGGTGGGGAGTTAAGCAACAGGCAGGAAGTGAGCAATGATGATTTGGAAGAGCTGAGAGGCAAAGGGGGGGAATCGCTTTCTCTGCGCGCTGTTGAGAGTTCGGGACGCACAAGCGCACTTGCTTCGCTTCCCGGACGCCTAAGAAAACGAAAAGGTGAAAGATCCCATCCCACCCTCACCCCACTCCGCGCCCGGATAGCCAGTCCGTCGCCAGTACCGTCCCGACCTCGGCTACTCACCTCCAGCCACCTCAGGAGCCGGCTTCGCTTTCCTCAGCCGGGAGGTATTTGAGACTACGCCTCAAATGTGAGGCTTTCCTACCACGGCTGAAGTCCCGCCTCTGGGCTTAACCTTGGAGCCGCCTGTTTTTTCCGCTTCTTCTAAGCGTCTTTTCCCGTCATTCAAGTTCGGGGAAATCGGGGTCTGTTTCATCAGCGTTTGCGGCGTTCGGTTCACAAGATCTTCGACAAGGGAAAATGGTCGGAAATGTGTCTCACTGCATGCCAAAGTCCAGAGAGGCTCCAGACACTTCACCAAAGGCATTTAACGCTAAGACATTTCAGAGATTGTTACTGTGAGAAGTCAACAAAGTCTTGATGGCTGTCCCAAAGGTGCTTTTTCAGGAGGCAACTGGACTGTTTTTTCTTTGAAGACATTTCGCTTCTTATCCACGAAGTTGCTTCAGTTCTGACAAGATAGTGGGGAATGGAAGGATTTATATTCTTTGCAGACAGCTGCTTATTTGCATCCTTTTAGAGCAGAAGTCTCCAAACTTGTCAACTTTAAGACTTGTGGGCTTTAATTCCCAGAAGGCTGGAGAATTCAGGCAGTTGAAGTTCACAAGTCTTAAAGTTGACAAGTTTTTGGGCCACCTGTTTTAGAGGGATGTTGAAAAGTCTACAGACTTTTAAGTCTTGATGGCTATCCACTGGGAAGTTCAAATATTCAAAGGTGACATTGCTGCCCTGCTAGAAAAAGATATGAAACTTCAGACTGTGTCAGAAAATGGGAGATAACAAATGTAGCATTAATTTTAAAAAAGGAACCCAAGGAAAAGTATAGGCCAGTCAAGGTCTTGTTGATTGAAATTGATAGAAAACATAATCAAAGAAAAATAATAATAATTAGTCACCAAAGGGCGACAAGCCCCAAGAAAAGAGTATCAGCACAGATTTTGCAATATTCTTCCTACAGCAGCGTTTCTCAGACATTTGGCTCTCAAAACCTAGAAATGATTTATCATAGTACATATTGAAGGATGTTTTTGGACAAGAGACCCAGAAATAAATTTTAAAAGTTTCTGCTTCCATAGACAGATTCTGTTTAAAAGATGATATGGAAGAGGAATAAGTTTTATTTGACAAGATTGAGTCTGATCTCAAAGTGGATTTAAAAATGATAACCTACAAGAATGAAATGGAAAATGATGCTACAGTGGAATATACAAAAGAAACTAATATGTGGATTGCTTGTTCAAGGATTAGGAGGTTTTGATCATATCCTAGTCACCTTTTGAATAGACTATCGTAATGCAGACTAGTGGGGGCTCCCCTTAAAAAGTATCTGGAAGCTTCACCTAGTGCAAAAAGCAGTGGCACAGACTGTTATCTGTGCTCCTAGGACCTAGAATGTTACACATTACACTCAACTTCATGAGCTGCATCTGCATCTGTTTAAGATGCTGGTTTTGAGCTTTAAAACCTTACATGGCATGGGGCCAGGTTAATTGAGGGATTGCCTCTCCCAGTTACATGTATCTTGGCAGGATGGATAATTGATTTCTGAGGTTTTTGATTTTAGATTGAATTATGTATAAATCTGAATCCAAATAATAATGAATATGAAGATGGTTTAGCCAGCTTATTTTGTCATAACTGGATACACATAATGCACTAACAACCAAGTTTGTACTATACACTCAGGCAAAATTAAATAAAATGATATTATGGCAGAGTGATATCATTTCATTGCTGCTAATGAGTTTGTACAATTATATACATTTCAAAATACCGTCAAACAAAAATAACACTTTTTTCGCAGAATGCAATTAGATATATATGGGCATTGCATCCATATCAGTTTTCTTCTTATGGTGTAAATTGCAATAGGCAGAGTCTGTATGTATAGGTAGCCCTTATGGCCATTCATTTAATGACCAGTTGAAGATACGGCAGCCCTGAACAACGGGTACTTTGGCCTACTCTTCGAAGTTCTGGCTGTTGCCACACCCCTGTGGTCATGCTATCAACATTTGTGCACTTGGAAGCCTGCCCACATGACTGCAGGGGCACTTCAACTCCCTCACCTGCCTATCTTCAGCCCCCATTTGTGCCCTTTTGACTGCCCTGCACACTGGTGATCCTTGGTGACGCAATGCTGGGATTGAAGTAGAGGTCCAGGGCTCAAAGTCTCAGCTGGCCACCACTTGGGATTCAATTAAATAAAATTGCAAAATTTAAATTGTTTAAGGCAATCCTTGTTTAGCAACCTCAGTTGGGATCTGCAACTCAGTTGCTAAGTGAAGGGGTCCTTAAATGGAAAATCACATGACACCCAAATAGGCTTTCTCCCTTCCCTCTCTTTTGAAAAGTTCACCAGGGTACTGGGACAATTAGAAAGAAGGAAATTAATATATACAGTTACATTCATTTCAAAGGAAGGGGTTACCCCCCAAAAAATAAGCAGACACAAAATGAGAAATGCACATCCAAAGGTATGCACTCCAGCTGGCTGTTGGTCTACTGCAGAGGTCTCCAAACTTGTCAACTTGAAGACTTGTGGACTTCAATTCCCAGAATTCTCCAGCCAGCTGGGAGTTGAAGCCCACAACTCTTAAAGTTGACAAGTCTGGGGACCCCTGGTCTACTGCATGGCCCCAAGTCACTTAGAAGGCAGACAAAGACCATGGTGTGAAACCAAGTAGTCCTGTCAATTACAGGTACAGCTGCGGCTAACTAAGGTCACAGAGTTGAGCTTGTTTATCTGCAGTTGGAAACTTTTGGGGAAGTGCTGGGCTGCAAAGAAAAACAACTCAGGAAACCATCAGTGTTTAAGCAATATCTCCACTCTGCGAGTGAGGATAGGAGAAAAAGACCACAACAGGCATAGGACAACACACACTGATTGACTGAACATGTGACTGAGACTGCTGAGGCCTTGGTTGTGAAATTATCGGGGTGGGTGGGTTCAGCACTATTGTAGATTTGAACATTTGCTACACAAGGCCTATACAAGGACTACCTGTAAAGGTAGTGCTTGACTCACAACCAGTTGCTTAATGGCAAAACTGCCTATTTGGGAGAGTGACTTTGCAGTTTTGACTGCCATAAAACTATCATAAGAAACAGTCAGAAAAGTTGGGTCTGCTCATGTGATGCCTCGACTTATGACCACAATGATTTATGACTGGAATTCCAGTCATAACTGGGGTCGTGAGTCAAGGACTACCTGTGTTTTTAGCCTCAATCATACTAGAAAGATATACCACCAACTTTTATGCTACCTGATCCTAACAGTTCTAAAAATTAAATATCACCATTTTCTCCAAATTTATTTAGCATTGCAACCCAATGGTAGGAAATATATAAAATATTCAATTTACCAGTTAAGCAGAATTTGCAAAGTATTGTCAAGTTCCAAAGCAAAGAGAGGAATGCTTTAATTTGGCTCATTTTGCAAAGGCTGGACATTCTGTAATAAAATGTAAGGTTTTCTTGTTAGATTCTTTTGCACAAAATGTTAGTAGTTCTCTGCCTACTGAATTCATAAAACCCAAGCATTTACAACAATCACACAAAACATAAGATAGTATTCTATATACATACAATATACCACAATTGTTCTAATCCTCTCTCCCCAATTTCTTATTCGTAGGTTGGAATAATAAAAATAATAATAAAAAATAATAATAAAAGTCTCCTGTAATATTTACCGCATACTGTATTTTATTAAATATGATTAAATATTAGAATGAAAATTAAGTAGTTTAATATACAGAATTATCTTAATTGAATTTCAAGTTATGGCAAGTGGGAGGGAACAGTAAATATTGTGCCTCACTTTCCCGCAAGATGATAAGTTGTTACTAATACCATGTATGTATTTCAAGGGCAGGATCTGAAAAAGAGCTCTGATTATTAATTGATGATCATCTTTGCAGGAATACAACATGCTTCCTATGGTCTTTTAGAACATTTAATGAATATATTATTGTATGTGAGTCATTAGGTAACATTAGATTTAATTATATATAGCTGGAATCAAGATATTGTCACAGTTGCTGTCTTTCTATCTGAGAACAGAACTTCTGATTTTACTACTTAGTTGACATGTTTAGATTTTTTTTATCCCTCCTTTATTATTTTTACAAATAATTCAAGACAATCTTACAGAAGCCACACATCATTACATACCACAACATAGGTACAAATAAATTACATGGCAATGGCCAATAATAACATAGTATCAAGAATATATCTTAACCTTCTTCCTTCAGCATTAGGGCATACTATTTAAGATTTTGGCCAAGAGAAACAGAGGCAGCAAGAATTTGATAAAGAAAAGGAATAGGTCTTTTGCCGCAAAAATTTTAATTTAACACAGCTTTACATGAGTCTTTCATTATTGAAAGTAGCCTTTTTTCCACATTCAGTCTTTATCTATAGCAATAGTAATAGCACTTAGACTTATATACCGCTTTACAGTGCTTTACAGCCCTCTCTAAGCAATTTACAGAGTCACCCTATTGCCCCCAAGAATTTGGGTGCTCATTTTACCCACCTCGGAAGGATGGAAACTGAGTCAAACTTGAGCCTGGTGAGTTTGAATTGCTAAATTGCAGGCAGCCGGCAAGCAGCAGCAGTAGTCTCAAAGTCTCAGCTGGCCACCACTTGTCCTGGGCCTCTTTCTTTCTCAGCCCCAGTGCCACCATCATCAAGGAAGAGTGTTGCCTCAAGCCCCACATTGTGTCCAACCACCCCATCGCCACACAGAAAGTAGGAGCCACCTTTGCCACCTTGCAGTCAGTCCACTGGTCCTGCTGCCCTCAGCTGACTTTCACTGTCTTTTGCTGCTGACAATGAGCACCAAGTCTGGCTCTACACAAGGCAGCTGTTAGCCATGCCAGGCCATGAATGGCTAGCCTTGCCATTCTTACAATGCTTTAGAAGCCTTCTAAACACCAGAAGGTCATACACACACCAGCTGTCTCTTTATTGTGCAGGCCATTTTTGAGATGTTTCAGAAAGCCTTGGAAAGCTTGAGAAAGCAGGGCCAATAGAGCAGAGGATGGCAGAAGCAGTGAAGCACAGGGCAGCCAA